AAGAGTGTTCCGGAGAATCTCCAGAGCGGAAGAGGACGAATTCCGGGAGAGAGAACGGTGGGTCGTCATCGGGGTTGGTGTGGTGGTGATGCTGATGTTCCTGGTGAATGAACGGCTGAGATTGATCGATCATGTCGGGAGGTCCCAGATCATGGTGGTGGAACAGATCTTCTTCGGTCTTGTGGGGATTCATCAGGAGGAACAAAGAAGAGGAAGAGGAAGAGGAAGAAGAAGACGACGACGAGAGAGAGAGAGAGAGAGAGAGAGGGAATTTTTGGGTAATTTTGTTATTATTTATTATAAGTTTTTTTTTTAATCAAGCCCAAGCTTCGGTCTGACATTTATGTGAAATCCGAGGGCATTATTTTATCCTCTCTCCATCTTCTTCTTGTGTCGTCGCTTCATTTTTTTTCTTACTTCTATGGAAATTAATTTAACTTTTTTTTATTTATAATAAAATCTTAGGCTTGAGAATTGTTTTCTGTCTAAATAAAATAACCCGGATGGAGTATAACACCTAGTCTAGTCAGTCCACAGGATTAAATTGAATAATAAGAAATTCATATTTTTTTATTTATCATTTTTTATCATATGTATGTATAAACATCGGCCCATTCCAAAAATACCCTTTTTATGTCGATAACAGGGAGCCAATTGATTTCAAAATAAATGTGAATTGTCCATTTCAAAAATTCGATCCCTTTATTTATTGCTTCCCAACGAAATCTTGGTCGTTAATTAAAAGGAGAAAGGATTGTCAACAAAACAATGTTCCCTTGCAACGGCCCAGATTGTGCCACGTCACCCTAATCTCGGGCGCGGATCGAGGCCATCGGTGCGTTTCCCCACATAACGGATCCTCCCGCTCCCTCTTCAAAAATTTCAAGCGTTACGCTCTCGAATTCCCAATCTTTAAATCCCTAATTTCCCTCTCTTCTCTCTTTCAGCTTGATCGTTCTTTCCTTCTCCAACTCCACATCCATTTCTAAGGTCTGTAAGTGATCCAGATTCATCTTGTCAGTCATTTTTCTTGTAGACTCTGAAATCTCGATGCTTTGATCGCTTTAGTTACTGCGATCTTCTGTATGGTCGGCGAGAAAGTAGGAGAAAACGATAGAAATTTTAGAATTGACGTTTTACTTGTTTGAGAGCCCAGAATTGTTGTCATAGTACCCTGTTTTCTAGTGTTATTGGTCAAAACGAGGGCGAAATCAGAGTTAGGACTTTGGTTTTTCCTGCAATGTGAACGATACAGTTTCATATCTCAATGATGGGTTTTTAAGTATGATTAACTTGAACTGATGCTTAGAAATGTCTCCAGGTTTTAGGGGAGAATCAGCTTCTTTGTTCTGTCATCCTCTCAAAATGTTGAGGCAATCTGCAGAGCAGTTTGCTCGAATTGAAACTACGTGCGGTTTGCTGCTGCGACAATTGCAGGTTTCCATTGACTTTCACTATTTCAGACTCTACCTTGCTTCTTCTTCTTTTTAATCCATTTTATTGTTCTATTAATGTATGAAGTTTTGTGGGATTGGATATTTTGCTGAGCTTAGGAAATATGGAATGAAATGGGAGAGTCTGAGGATGAAAGGGACGCAGCATTGGTTGAGATCGAGAAGGAATGTCTAGCAGTTTACAGGCGAAAAGTCGAGGATGCCAGTACGTGCAAAGCTGAGTTGCTGAAATCGATCGCTATTGGCAGAGCGGAAATCGCTGCTATTGGTTCGTCTATGGGTGGACCTGATGGTCATGTAAGTCCGGCAAAACATTCACTTTTGATGACTCATGACTCTGGTTACTCTGCACGATTTCTGGGATAAATGACATTTGATGTTCTTTCTTCTCTTTTGGGTTTTTTCCCCCTCGCAGTCTAACAACAGGGTTGGAGAAAACTTCAAAGAGGAGCTTGAAAATGTTAATCTACAACTAGGGGAAATGCGCAAGAAGAAAATGGAAAGGAAGAACCTGTTTGATGAAGTTCTGGACCAGTTACTGAAAATATCATTTCAACTTGGAAACCCAACGGATTACTTGAGAAAACTTGCAGCTGAAGAGACAGATCTATCACTTCAAAAGCTGGAGGAACTGCGCAGAGAATTGGTTGAACTCCAGAATGAAAATGTTAGTTTCTTTATTCAGTATTTCCGTTTGCATTGACAATTATATCTGTATTCCATTTAGTCCCATGCTATCATTTTCTTCAACTCATGGATATATTTTGCACTTTTTCAAATGTAGAGCAAAAGACTGAAAGAGGTAGAAGATCACCTCGATATGCTAAAATCGTTATGCTCGGTGCTTGGCGAGGATTTCAGTGACTTGATCAGTGGGGTACATCTATCTCTTGTTGATTCCAGAACCAAAGATGTGAGCAGAAGCACTCTCGATAAGTTGGCCATGATGACAGACAATTTGCTCGAGGTCAAGTTACAGAGAATGCAGAAGGTTAGGAGTCCAATCTATGAGTTTGTTGGCAATTCTGATTTTCTTGCTTCTTGGTTTAAACTTTTTTCCCCAGCTTCAAGATCTTGCAGTTTCTCTGTTGGAGCTCTGGAATCTACTTGACACACCAGTGGAAGAGCAAATGATGTTTAACCATTTTACACGTACCATTGCTTCGTCCGAGTCTGAAATTACCGAGAGCGGCGTACTTTCTGTTACCTCCATCAAACGTGTGAGTATACCTTTAAGCAGCGTGGTCATCATTAATTCTGTCAATCTCAATATAAAGGTTTCATCTTTCTAACCCTTCGTTTCGTATGGTGTTTTACACAGGTTGAGGATGAAGTCACGAGGCTTGGCAAGGTCAAAACAACTATGATCAAAGAGCTTATTCTCAGAAAGCAACTTGAACTTGAAGATATATCTAGAAAGATGCACATGACCTCTGAAGTCCTTAAATCAAACGAGTACTCAACAATAGAATCCATCCAGTCCGGTAAAACCACTGGAAAAGCTTCTTTGCTATTGATCAGCAACGTTAAAGATAAAACCATTAGAGTTCGTTGGACTGGTGGAGCGAGCATCTGATTATAGAAAACTAATGATATGGTTTGTGCTCATCTTCAGGTGATAAGGACCCTGAGAAGTTGTTGGAGAAAGCATTACAAGTTTCTGTTGGTGTAAAACTCAATTTTGTACTGTTGAACTTGGCACTAAGTAAACATGTTGTCTGTTGCCTGTTGGTATTTGAGGATTTGGGCTGGTGGTGGGCCAATGATGTTGTTTCGTTTGGTAGCCCCCAAAACAAAACACCACGCAGTTCTATAGCGAATGTCACGGACGACGCGGTGTTTTACCTACGGGCGGGAATACAAGAAAACCAGGCTCATTTAGTCATTTTACGGAACATTTTTATAATTGTTCATCGTCTCAAAGAGTGGAGAAGTGGATGGCGGCATGTGAAGAAGAGTCATGGCTCGAGGAGTACAACCGGGTTATTATCGAGTTTAACCCAATCATTTCTATGTAGCTTTTGCTCTCGTTTTTGTGCCAAACTATTCTCAACACATTCGTGGATTACAGGATGAAAATCGGTACAATGCTGGACGAGGCGCCCACCTCACCTTGAAACGTGCTGAGAAGGCACGCTTACTTGTCAATAAACTTCCTGGTAACTTCTTGCTCTCTGAATCATACTACAAAAAAAAAAAGAAAAACAAAAAAGATGATATCCGGTTGGAGATTTCCCTGCATGTAAATAGCTGATTACTCTCGAAAACCATGTTTAATATCTAGCCTGTACAATATCTTCGACTCCAATTTACCCATCAGCTACATTCCTTTTCTTGTGTTACTTTTGGAGCAGGGATGGTGGAAGCACTCATGGTAAAAGTTTCTGACTGGGAGAAGGAAAGAGGAATTGAATTCTCATATGACGGTGTAAGCCCCTCTATAGACAATGAGAAGACTGAATTGGGATTACTAAAGCAATTTTCCTTCAGCTCGTATGGTTAGTGAATAGATAGAGCGGGAAGCGAACCTGAGATCGCTGTTACCAAGCCAATCCACATCCGTTTTAGTATATTTAGATCCTGTAATCTTTCGTTATGTTTCAGGTTCGACTACTCTCGATGCTTGAACAGTACAACAACCTTCGCCAAGAGAAAGAGTTGGAAAAGCAAAGACAGAGAGTAAGGCAGATGCTACAAGTAATCCAGCTTTAGCCTGTAAACTAAAGTGTTCTTTTTGTAACATCACTGTCACTTCTCAGGATCTGAAGAAACTAAAGGGTCAGCATATAGCAGAGAAGGAAGCTCTCCACGGGCCAATGCTAAGTCCCACGAAAAGCGGAAAGAAACTCCCGAGAACCCCCGGGACTGCCTTGAACAGGAAACTCTCCCTTGGCGGTGCCATTCTTCAAATCTCGAAACCCGAAAAGACAACTCCTCGACCACTTGCCTTCAGGAAGAGCAACTTCTCTGACCAGAACGCAACACCAAGGCACATGCCCGCATCTGCTATCCCCACTCCCTCAGGTACAAAACATATAACACAAAAATATTTTCACGCGGGTTTGAGATGGTGAATAAGCAGAACATGATGCGTATCGTCGTTTCTAGGAAGGAGAAACTCGGAAACCATCCGTCGTCTAGGAAAGAAGCAGGTCTCGGTCGGAGGAAAAGGCGTCGAAACAAAGAAATCTCCATTGGTGAGGAAGCCGCTTTCTCCTGTTCCGTCCAACATCTTGAGCTCCCCCATAGAAGATGATCTCAAAGAAGAACATTACACAAAGACCTTACAAAGACGAGAAAACAGAAAAACACCAACAAAGCAAACAGCTCAAATCTCCGTACCATCAGCACCGGAAGAAGACAGCGATTTCGGGCTTTTGAACTAATTCTTACACAAGCTGTTATTAACTGCAGATCATCCTCTTGACTTTGGACAACCTCAGTCAACGTCAGTTGCCTTTTTTCCTTTCTTCTCACGAGTCACGACGACAATGCAAATGTTTGTAAAGACGATGGATTCTGTTTTCTTGCTTTTGTCAAATGTTTTTCTGACATCAACTTCCAAGTTTGATGTCTGCTACAACGTTGGATTTGATTCTTCTTCTACATGTTCTTTTACTGGTTATGGAAATCCATATGACCACCTTAAAAAAATGTATTAAAAATAAAAAGCCCATATTTGACCCAAAAGTCTAAGCCCAGAACCTTAACTGGGTCGTTTCTGGCGGGCAGGGATCTAACAAAAATTTTCTTTTTTTTGGTCGTCATTTACCAAAATTATAAAAATTTCCCATTGAGCTAGGACAAAATTAGGAAAAAGTTACATTTTTAATTTTTTCCCTATAAATCATGATTTTTTATTTTGAAATTTGAAAAGAACACAAACCTTATGAAATCTAATATTTTTCTCGCACACTGATACATAATAGACATACCGGTTTTCGTTAATTTAAAAAAAATCATGTCTCTTGTAAATTAAAAAAAAAAAGACGTTTTTATGGAGGAAAAAAATGTTTTTCTTTTTTTTTTTTTGTAAAAAAGTTTTTAAAAGAAAATTAGAAATACATGGGGTCACCATTGGGCGTGAAAATGTATTACACGAGAGACGGTGTCGTTTTGGGCGTTCGATTCTCCATCTTCTCTCTCTTCTTTTCTTGTCCCCAAAGCTAGATCCACTGTGAAACAACACAAACAAAACAAAACTGGACTAGAAGCTCATCAAATCCATCTGCTTCATTTTTTTTTTTCAAAATCTCTCGGCCCCATCTCTCACCACCATCATCCACCATGACCAAGCAGCACGCGAAATGGTCTCCGTACGATTTCAATGGAGGGTTCGTCATCGTTGCCCTAACCGAGAAGCTGTGTTTTTCGTCTCTTGATTTTGATATTTGAGCCTTTTATTTGTAATTTCCCTCAGGTTTGTGTCTATCGTTTGATTTTGCAGGACTTGCGTTGCGATTGCTGGAGGTGATTACTGCGTTATCGCCGCCGATACTCGGATGTCAACCGGCTACAACATTCTTTCTCGCGATTACTCCAAAATCCATAAACTGTAAAGTTCTCTCTTTTCTTCTGTAGATTTCCTTTCCAATCTCGCCTGTGATCTTCCGAGGCGCTGATTTTATGTTCGTGTTAATTCACTGTCTGTGAGGGTTTATGTTCTTTTTTTGCTGGGTACTATTGCTGTAGTTCAATGTCGGATTTTCTCTTTCCGCATTGGTTGTGAGGGTTTTTGTTTTTCTATTTTGTTCTTTTTTCTGGGCATTGCTGATGACATTTTAGGACGATCATGATGATAGGATCTGGATGAAGATTGTAGTTCAATTTCGTTTTTTTTTTCTCGTTTTGGTAGTGATTGTAAAGGTTTTCCTCCTTTTCTAGGTATTGGGTATTGATTTTTAGATGTTTCTATTATCTGGATGACACTTTGATTTCGATTTCTATCACATTTTCCTAAGAGCTTTCTGTTTGAGAAGGTTGGTAGCAATCTGAATCCCCTGAGTGAAGTATCGACTCGAGTCTCTCTCTGCTAGTTACCCGTTCGTGTTTTCAAGTTATATCAGCTGGTGCTTGCATCATGAGTTTGCCAATACTGTCTTGGATCTGGAAACTATTGAATAGAAGAAACTATTGTAATATTTGCTGGCACCTCGATATGATAAGCTAGTGTTAATCCACTGACCATCCTTGGGTTGTGTAATTTTGACTGTTTCTTATTCGCTTGTGGATAGTTTCCCTACTTCCTAGATCTTTTTTCACAACCATATATACCTAGGTTTACAAAGATGTCATAAACAGATGAAATGCACTGCAGACAATACTATGTAAGAATGCCTAATTTATGTGATCGGCAACGGTTATGGTTTAACTCATTTTCCAATTGCAATATGCATGGCCAAAAGTTTGAAGTATGGATATATGTTGGGAAAGACAAACGGACTGAATTTGTTTCTATTATAAAGATGTAATCTGAGGCAAGAATGCATAAACAGAGGGCATATACAATTTCTTCATTTGTCTTTCCTTCCATTGACTTTGTTGTTGGGTCGTCATTCTGCAGAGCGGACAAAGCTGTGCTGGCTTCCTCAGGTTTCCAAGCTGATGTGAAAGCCCTGCAGAAGTTACTTAAAGCTAGACACTTGGTGAGGTTTCCTTGATTGTTCCATCGTGTTGTGTTTCTCTTGTATTCTTCAATTTCTTGACAAATCGTTTTCTGTTTGCATATGGTAACTTGGGCAAAATTTTAGATCTATCAGCATCAGCATAACAAGCAGATGAGCTGCCCTGCAATGGCCCAGTTACTCTCCAACACTCTCTACTACAAGCGGTTTTTCCCATACTACGCTTTTAATGTATTAGGTGGCCTTGATGAGGAAGGTAAAATGCTTCTCTCTTATAATGCCTTGGCTGATCTTTGTGGTTGTGCTTTCATTTCGTTATCATGTGTAAATCAGCCATATTCTGTAACTTTCTTGTGAAAAAATATATCTTCAGGAAAGGGGTGTGTCTTCACTTATGATGCTGTGGGGTCATACGAGAAGGTTGGATACAGTGCTCAAGGTTCTGGCTCCACATTGATCATGCCATTCCTCGACAACCAACTGAAATCTCCAAGCCCTCTACTACTGCCTGCTCATGTAGTTTCTTTAGCTTTTATGCTTTAATGGCTTGAACCCGTCATTTGGTTTCTCATTTTTTTTCCCTTTTTTTCTGACCCTTTTGCAGGATCCCATCACACCGCTCTCTGTGTCGGAAGCAGTTGATTTGGTCAAGACCGTGTTTGCTTCTGCAACTGAGAGAGATATCTACACTGTAGGTTTTCTCTATCACAAATCGTAGTTGGATACTCTGAAATCCATTTTCCTCGAACAATTCAATGAAATGTTCATCTGTTTGCAACTGCGCTCTCTCTTCTGTCTGATAATCCTGTTGTGATACCCGCCCTTCTGCATATAATTGGTATCTGACTTGTCACCAATCTGTGTTATTTAACCACTTCATCCTCGACATGGCCCATGATTCCTATAAAACTGCCTTACTAGACATGTGCATCACCAAACTTGTGGTGACATTGTGCTAATACGCGGATCCTTGTAACAGGGAGACAAGCTCGAGATTATCATCCTTAAAGCTGACGGTATCCAGACCGAACTGATGGAACTAAGGAAAGACTAAGCCGCTCAATCTATATAGTCAGCTGTTTCAGGCGCAACCAGTGTTTGTGGGAACATTCTTCGTTGGATTTTCACTTGGGGGTTTACTGTTTTCCATCGAAACATTCAAGTAAACCGATGTGAATTGCTCTTTTTACGATTAATCATGTTTGCAAGAATGACGTCTCTTGGGAGTTTATTAAGTTTTTGTTTATTACCATGGGATCTGTCAAGTCTTGGATTGTAAACTGATTGTTTCCATGGAGTGATGTAATACGCATTACAAGTTTCTGTTGGTGTAAAACTCAATTTTGTACTGTTGAACTTGGCACTAAGTAAACATGTTGTCTGTTGCCTGTTGGTATTTGAGGATTTGGGCTGGTGGTGGGCCAATGATGTTGTTTCGTTTGGTAGCCCCCAAAACAAAACACCACGCAGTTCTATAGCGAATGTCACGGACGACGCGGTGTTTTACCTACGGGCGGGAATACAAGAAAACCAGGCTCATTTAGTCATTTTACGGAACATTTTTATAATTGTTCATCGTCTCTCCATTTTCCTCCTTTCTAAGCTCAGCTTCCTTGTCAAGCTTAGTTTCCGAATTCACCATCTTCTTCTTCTTCTCTGTTGTCTTCTTACTCGCTCTCAATGGCGCGAAATCGGGTAAATTTCTCTCCAATTATAGTCTCTCTCTCTTTTTTTTTCCTTTTTAATTCCCTCTGTGTTCGTTCAGAATTTGGGTAATCTTCAATGTCAGCATCTATATGTTTCGAAGGAAGACCCAGCTTCTCCTTTACGCTGTTGTTGTTCCCTCTCGTTTCAGTCATTCTGTTTCAAGTGATGCATTTTTTGGTTCTCTATTTCGTTTCCGTTGTTTCAGTGATGGGTTTGATTACGGATGTTCATGCGAGTTTGACTTCGTTCTCTGTGATAGTTATCATGGCGTGTGTACATGCTCTGGTCTTCGGTTGTTGCCTGACCATTACCTGATGTTTGCTCGATTTTTCCGGGTTGTGGTCGTGTGGTGATTTGCTCCTTCTAGGGTTTTAGGTTTTATGGAAATTTACGGTTTAAAATTAGATTTTTCGATTGAGGAATTAGGATGGCATGTGATGTGATCTTGAAACAGGAGGGACTGGTTCTGTTGCTTGATGTCGGGCCACCAATGCACGGTATTCTTCCGGAAGTTGAAAAGGCGTGTTCTTTGTTAATAGAAAAGAAGGTAATGCTCCCCCTCCTCCTATGGTTATTGCTCATGTCTTGTGTTTCCATGGCACGGTGGATTGGCCGCGGTTCTTAATGGGTGTGTTTTTGTTTGTTGCAGTTGATTTTCAACAAGTATGACGAAGTTGGAGTGATCTTTTTCGGAACTGAAGGTGCTTCTCGTCGCAAAATAATTCATCCATTGTGAATACTGATAGTTTCACTTGGGATATGGAACAAAAAAATTATCCTTGTTTCTGAGCATATTATATATTGATATTGTATATCAACTTATCAAGTCTTCCCTGTGTTGTTGAGGATGCCCTAGAGTGTAGATTTTTTGTTATATATTTTGGTGTCTTGACCCCTGCAATCTCCGGTGCAACGACTTCCCTTTGTGGTTCTACTTCTTTCTTAAAATACATTGATTCTCTGGTTTTGTTGTTAAAGCCTCTCATCATTCATAATGTTCCATGTGAATTTTGCAGAGACCAGGAATGAGCTTGCAAGGGATATAGGCGGATATGAGCATGTTATTGTTTCGAGACAAATCAAGGCTGTTGATGAAAACCTTGTTGAGGATATACAGCAGCTTCCTCGAGGAACTGTAGCTGCCGATTGTATCCTATTAGTTATTTGGCTCATTTGCTGCATTTCCATTTTCTTTATATCTTTGGTTCCTTGACTGACTTAGTTCTTGACGCCTTAATTGTCGGAATGGATATGATGATAAAAAAGTACGGTCCTACAGAAAAAGGGAAAAAACGGCTGTGTCTCATCACTAATGCAGTCTGTCCTACAAAAGATCCATTCGAAGGGACAAAAGAAGATCAAGTCAGCACCATTGCGACGAAAATGGCTGCAGAAGGTATAAAGATGGAAAGCATTGTTGTGAGGGGAAATTTAAGCGGTGATTCTGATCAGAAGATTATGGATGAGAATGACCATTTATTGAAATTACTCTCCAGCAGAGCGAGTGCTAGAATAGTTTATGTTGAGAGTCCACTATCACTGCTTGGGGCCTTAAAAACCCGGCGAATTGCTCCAGTTACTGTGTTCAGGGGTGACCTTGAGATTAACCCAGAACTGAAGATTAAGGTAAGATGCATTACTTACACACACACAAACATATATATATACATACATATATATATGCTTGTATTTATCACACGTGTCCTAAATTTCTAGGGGTTCTAGGATTAAACCAAAGGCATGTTAGGATTGTATGCCAAACTAGCAGATGAATGCTAAGCAGTGGCTTGTGTATGTGACTAGCTAGTCGTTGAGGTGATCATCAGTAGCAGTCACACAAGGACTGTGGCACAACGCACTAATCTTATTTCGATATCATCATTTGTTTTCTTCCTACATTATTTGTTGTCAATCATAACAATATCTCGCAAGCCTATATATACCTATTTAAGCAGGATTCCGGAGTATTAATTTTTAAGTCTGTAGGTCTGGGTTTATAAGAAAGTGTCTGAGGAAAGGCTACCCACACTAAAGAAATACTCTGATAAAGCACCTCCAACTGACGAGTTTGCCCAACATGAAGTAAAAGTAGATTATGAGTACAAAGTTAGTGGAGAATCAAGCCAGGCTCTCGCCCCAGAGGAACGGATCAAAGGCTATCGCTATGGTCCTCAGGTTGTACCTATATCATCTGATCAGATGGAAGCCCTCAAGTTTAAACCCGAAAAAGGAATTAAGCTTCTGGGGTTTACTGATGCTTCAAACATATTTCGGTAAAGTATAAGTGCACATTACGATGCTATCTCAGAAACTTTCTGTTCATTACAATTGAGGAAATAACTGTGTTGTCTCCTTTGCCTGCATGTGAATCAAAGACATGAACCGGGAAAGACAAAATCTGTTCTTGCCGCCTCTGCCATTGCAAGAGCGATGAGTCAAGCTAATAAGGTTGCAATTTTACGATGTGTCTGGAGAAAAGGACAAGGGAATGTCGTTATTGGTGTCTTGACCCCTAATGTATCTGATAGAGCTGATACCGTGAGTAACAAAATTATCAACTAGGAAGCACTTTTTATTTGTTTAACAACTGATCAGTTTCCTTCATTGCTGTGTTAACTGGGCAGCCTGATTCATTTTACTTCAATGTGCTCCCTTTTGCCGAGGACGTTCGTGAGTTTCCGTTTCCCTCTTTCAGCAGATTGCCCGCATCATTGAAGCCAGATGAGCAACAGCAAGCAGCAGCAGATAATTTAGTGAAGATGCTTGACCTTGCACCGTCTGGTAGAGAGGAAGTCCTCAAGCCCGATCTTACTCCAAACCCGGTTTTGCAGGTAAAAATAGCTGTCTTGTAGTATGTTATATCTAGCTTCAATGGGATAAACAAATCAAAACAATTTCCCCTGCATTAGCTGAATGCAACTACCTTATTTTTTGCAGTTCTCGGAATGAAATTACTGTGCTTATGTAATGTGTGGGAATGCAGCCTTCTAATGAATAATGATACTGTTTTACCAAAAGGAATCCTTTGTTCTGCTTTTGAAGTTTGATGCATGGTTTAAAGCTGTGGAGTATGTTCTCCTTAATGGTTTTTCAGCATAACCTAATAGGCATTCTTTTGTATATTTATCAGCGGTTTTATCGTTTTCTTGAGTTGAAATCAAAATCCCCGGATGCTGCTTTACCTCCACTCGACAAAACTCTCAAGGGCATCATGGATCAAGACTCAGAATTGCTTTTAAAGAGCAAGTTCATCTTGGATGCATTTCGTGGAAGCTTTGAACTCAAGGAGAACCCTAGAGTGAGTTCCTTCAAATGTTCTACCAAAGAGGATGCTGGATACTTTCCTTTCAAAAGTCTAACATAACTGTCATTGCAGCTGAAGAAAGCATCTAAGCTGTTGTTACGGGAGAAACCATCTGGCTCAGATGATGAAAACGATCGTATGGATGTCGAGGCTGAAAACAAATCCCTGGTTGACAAAATCCGAGATGCAAACCCTGTTCAGGATTTCGAAGCCATGATGTCCCGGAGAGATAGTCCAGATTGGGTTGACAAAGCAATCGTGGAAATGAAAAACAAGATACTGAAGCTCATAGAAGAACCTGATGGAGAGGACAAAGCCTTGGCATGTCTGCTTTCCCTCCGCAAGAGCTGTGTCCTTGAACAGGAGAAGAACCTGATGGAGAGGACAAAGCCTTGGCATGTCTGCTTTCCCTCCGCAAGAGCGGGGTCCCTGAACAGGTCTCTCTCTCTCTCTCTCTCTCTCTCCCTCTCTCTCTCTCTCTCTCTCTCTCTCTCTCTCTCTGGGAGTAATACTCACTTGGTGGTGATGATGTTGCAGGAGCCGAAGCAATTCAACAATTTCCTGCGGCATCTTTACCAGTTATGCGTCGAGAAAAACCTGACCTGTTTTCTTAAACACCTCACTTGCAAAAAAGTCATGTTGATTCCCAAATCCGAAGCTGAAGACAGGTTTTAAAACACGTCGATTCACTGCTCATATTCCTTCCTTTGTAATTTTCCGTCTCTCTAACATTGCGCTGCTCTTCTTCGAGCAGTGACGTAGCGGACGAGGAAGCGAAAGACTTTCCCGTCAAACGCGAGCCGATGCCTGACAGCTGAGCCAATTTTTCTCAGGAAATTACTCTCTTGTTTTCTGTAAATCGTCATCATATAATGTGATTCTTTTTGGCATGAATCTGTGACACTTTGCATCAGTAATCAAATCGTAAGTGTTGAACAGATGTGAAATTTTTGTCATACCTTCTGTTGGAAAAAGATGCAACTAGAATGAAGAAATAGATAGACGAGAGGGCGGTTTTAGGAGCCTCTGAGCAAAGCGGAGGGTCCGAGGTTGTGGGACGTGCGCAGCGGACGAGAGCCGTACCCTCTATGTCGAATATTATATTGAAGAGATTATGCTCGCCCTAAGTTGATGTAGAAAGTTGAACCAGGCAAAAAAAAACATGCATGTATGTGTATATATATATATATATATTTATTAGTCCTAGATGTGTAGCAAATATGTCCAGAATATATATATATATATATATATATGTATGTATATAATTTTTAACTTGATTCTATAATTGATGTCTTTTTTTCCCTTATGAAAAGCTCATTTCTATTTTATAACAATGGTGGTGGTTTATATTATATTTTATCGGCCGGGGTTTATATGCTAATTATAATTAGAGAAAAAAGTTTTTATACATCCATGATTAGATGAATATAGTTATGGACAAGTTATAGTTAGTTACTCTGATTACTTATAGGAAAAACATTTTGATTTGATGTTTGGTCGGATTTTTTTGTGGGCTAAAGAAAAGTCAAAAGTAAGGGATCAAAGAAAAACATCAAAGGTCAGAGCTTCTTCGTATTCCGTCCTCCCTTCAATGGCTTCTGCATACGAAGCGGAATCTTTCACTAACGTTATCTCCTAAACCCTTTTGATTTTATCGAGTTCTTGGGTCCCAGACAAAGCCCTAGGAAGATAGAGACTTTCTCTCGTTTTCTCGGAAAATTTTCTTCAGCACGCGCTTCTGCTCCGTCCCCTTTTGCCCAGAATTCGATCCAGTGTGCCGCGCTCCGTAGTTTGCTTCAGGAAATCAGAAAGTTTCTTCCTTTTTCTGCGGGTTGATTCTGTAATAGAATCGTGTTTGACTATGCACAGATCTGGTGCTGCAATGGCGTGGAACGTTTTCAAATTCTGCACGGCCTTACGGGGCCTTGGATCCATCATGATCCTTCTTGTTCTGGGCGTTGTCGGTGTGACCTATTACGCCGTCGTTTGGAGCAATTACGGACCGGCTCTGTTCGATGGCGGGCTTGATTCTCTCGTGGCTCTTGGTATTCTAATCATGTTTCATTCTTTGGTAAGACTTCATGAACTTGAAAACATACGCTTTCGATTCTGGGTTTTCTTCTTTCTGCTAATTCCGGATGGATAATCTGTGTAGATATGTCATTAGCCGTAGATTATCCTGTTACAAGCTTTAGTGCCGATAAAGACAAATTTTGGTTTATCGGCTTAGATGCAAGATCTTCATTCTGTTTCCGACAAGAGGGTTTGGGAGATGGAAATTATACATTTACATTTCTTCAGTGGGTGTTTGGATGTCCTGTTTTGAGGTGGTGTTGAATTTAGCTCGAATGAGGAGGCGCTTGACGTTGAGAAGTGACAATTGGGCTATTGATTGTGCAGTTAGTGATGCTTTTGTGGAGCTATTTCTCTGTTGTGTTCACTGATCCTGGTGCCGTGCCTCCTAACTGGAGGCCTTCTACCGACGAAGAAAGAGGCGAGGCTGATCCATTGAACAGTTTGGAGTTCGGCGGCTTACAACCTGACTCTTCAAACCAGAGACTCCGGTTTTGTAGAAAGTGCAGTCAGCCGAAACCTCCTCGTTGTCATCATTGTTCCGTTTGTGAGTAGTACTCTTCCTGTTCATTAGTTCATCTTTTTGCGGTATGTAATAGAGAAGTAGGGCAGTTGATATCGTGTTCCGTTGAATCGTTTGATCAGGTGGCCGGTGTGTGTTGAAGATGGACCACCATTGTGTTTGGGTGGTTAACTGTGTCGGGGCCCTGAACTATAAGTATTTCCTTCTTTTCTTGGTAGGTTCACTTTGCGTCGTTACTCGGTGTCCCATTCCATGTCCTTTAAGGCTGCTGAAATTTCTATGGATCATCTTTCGGGCTTCGTTATGGTTAATGCTATTTAACTGTTATAATACTTGCTAGATCATGTCACATAAAATATGCTTTTTCCCCGTTGTATTGCTGTTTCGTACATTACTTCACAACTGAATCATGCATCTTTGATTGAACCGGTATCTGTATACTTGAGTTGTTGTGCTTGCAGTCAAGTTTTCCTTGTTCATAAAGTGTTACTTTTCATGTTTGATTTGATACGAGGAAAAATTATATAATCTTCAGCTGATTCATGTCCTCATGTCCTAAATATTGTGTTTAAACATGAAATGCAGTTCTACACGTTCTTGGAGACGGCTCTTGTGACTTTGGTCCTAATGCCGCATTTCGTAGCATTTTTTAGCGACGAAGAGATACCGGGAACCCCAGGAACTCTTGCAACTACTTTTCTTGCATTTGGTATGTGTTGAAAATTCCGAGAGAGAAAAAAAAGCGTACGAGACATTTCTTGTTGCACTTGCGGCTCTCACCTATTCTATCCACGGATCTGATATTGTTTGATTATATGACAGTCTTGAACTTGGCATTTGCCTTGAGTGTAATGGGGTTCTTAATCATGCACATCTCACTGGTTGCTGCCAATACCACAACCATAGAGGTAGAGGTGTCTTCTTCTTCTTCCCCATGGCTCGTATTTCATCAATCTTGAAGCTTCCTCATAGAATGAAAAATTTGGTTTACCACTTATTTTGTAGCACAACTTCTCTTTCTTTCTTCTTTCCTTGCCCTAAGAGTTGGATGCCATTGATTTTTGAGCAGGCATATGAGAAGAAGACCAGTCCGAAATGGCGGTATGACCTCGGGAGAAAGAAGAACTTTGAACAGGTTGGTGTTAAATTTGACAAACAAGTCAGTCATGGCTTTATCTTTTGTTGAATGTAGCGTTTGGTTTTGAAATTTTTTTTAAGAAAAGGCAAGATTTCCTAATATGTTGTCTTCACATGAAAAGGATTCTTGAACCTCCACTAAAGCTTTGGTTTCTTTGTGTTTTAAGGTATTTGGGATGGATAAGAGATACTGGCTCCTTCCTGGTTACTCAGAAGAAGATCTAAGGCGAATGCCGGAACTGCATGGACTCGAATTCCCCTCAAGACCCGACTTTGATTCCGAATAGCTCCGAAGAAAGACAGCATTCCCTGGTTGGTAGTAAAGACATGGCAGGAAATCTCCTCTGCTGCAGCAATTCTTGGTGAGACACAGATTGTAAAGGAGTGAAGCCCGGAAAACGACATCCACAAAAGAGAAGATATGCTAACTCTGTAGACTGATGCCCGCGTTCCACGCTCAGAGAGGGTCGAGCATGTTCGCCGGAAGAAGGCTTGGCCTGGGAAATGAAGCCATTCATTTCAAGCTTTCATGGCTGCCCATTGTTTCCTTTGGTCTTGAAATAGTTGAAATGACCCTTTTATACCCTTTGGAGATGTAGAGCCAACTCTTGTGTAACTTGGAACGAGAAAAGGTATTGTCTGAATTTTGATCCTTCGATCGGTCTCGAGCCCATTTGGCCCACGTTGCTATCTGGATCAATTAACCATTTCACATCCAAAGCTCAAACCCAATTCATCATATGGCCTGATTTTGTGTAATAAACCGGTCATTTGCCTATGTAGTGTTTGGCCACTCGGTTACAAAGAACTCACGAAACTTGTATGTTTTTACTAAATTTACACATGGGTAAGATTTTGTTTAGAGCAAGTTATAACATTATAGTTATAGGATGTCGTGTCGTATTTACATTCTTATTTGTCCTATGGTAAGCAACCACACACAAGACAAGAACAGAAGGCGTTCAAGGGCAAAACGGGGAGAGCAGTAACGCGAGAAAGGGCGATATGATATCTTCTTCAATTAGCGCGTGAACAAGAAGTGCTCCTCTCCTGATCGTTGATCCACATGTTTAATCCAACGGCTAGGACGCTTCCTCATTTTAACACGCAGACCACCGCTGGCCCCCACGTGTACTATATCCAATCCATTCCCGACAGGCAAGAACACTGATCTCACGACACGTGTCCCTTCCCCAAGCACTCCCTGCCATCTGAACCCGGAGACAGATCTCTGCGTGGCGTTTTTACACACTAAAACGGCACCCATGTTGCTCAGATTCGCCGCCCTCAGCGCCCTCACGAACTCCCGCCGCTTGGAGTCAACGACCATGAAGTCAACGCCGGAGAATCCCTCCACCGCCTCGTCCAACGGGTCACCGACGATCACCTCAGTCGTCTCCGCCGTCACGGCGCCCCTAATGGCCGCCACGTAATCCGAGCGTGACTGCTCGTCGGGGACGATGCACACGTGGCGGCCGCGCGTGTGCTTGGCGGCGACGGCGAGGCCGACGCTCGTGGCGATGGGGTCGCCACGTGTCCACGTCTCGACGATCAGTCTGGCGTTCCAACCGGCGGCTGTAGCGGACAGGAACTCAGCCACGCCTGATTCTATGAAGCTCTTACACTGCATGCACACAATGGTTATTTCAGATCTCTGTGAAGCAACTGAAATCAACAGTCTCACCAAACCATAAAAAAAACTTATGTATAACATATTTAGAATCAAACATGCACAAAACAGACATGCATGTTTCTTTATTTTCTCTTACAGACATGCATGCTTGCTTTTCGTTTAGTACACTTGCCGTATGTCGGATAACTACCTATTCACCGGATATATATACACACACACACACAAATACGTACGGTGTATGCATATATATATATATATGTGGACGCATGGATCAAAGTCCAGACACAATATAAGGAGAAGGATCACGTACTGATTTGACGGTATCGATGTAGGCTTTGGATGCTGTTTCCGGCGACCAGACAAGCTTCATCTTCTACACAAGACTCTCTCTCTCTCTCTGTGGAGTTTGGTCTAAAACGGGAAGGGATGTGAAAGAGATAGACGGTTAGGTTATAAATGGAGGGCGTGGCGTTTTAGGACAGATGCGTTGACATTTGCTGACAGCCGAAGGAGAACGTGTCCTTCACCCTCTTCCTCCCCCATCCCATTTATTTCTCCTAGATTTCCCAAATCTCTCTCTCCCTTTTATTTCCCCTAAAACAAATATATTTCTTTTACTCAATCTACCGATTTGTTTTCATCTTTAATGGCCCATATATGATCTCACAGCTTGGATAAAGGTCATTCCAACAAAATTAGGAAATAAATATTCACATAATAAAATTGGTATAGTATATATTATGAAAGCATCTCTAAACTATTTTTTACCAAAAGATTTCTCTAAACTAATTTTGATATATGTATAATAAATGTTTTTCTATAAATTGGGCTTACTGTATATCTGTTGAATTTTCTGATTTAAATAATATTTCAAGAAAATCCGTATATGGTATATGGACGGGGTGATTATTTGATAAATGTATAATGGTTTCAACATAGACTTATTTTCCTTTGGTTATGATAATGGACATTGTTCCCGGTGAAAATGTGTATGCAATAGTCTCCGAACAATAAATATTAATACAAATAAATGAAACGGTCAAAATCAATCTTCGTCTTATTGTTAATTAATTTCAACTTAATGACGATTCAAGCTTTTGTAATTTTCTGGCCAGTCTTTTTCACTGTCCAAAACCAACTAATCCAAAAGCATTATTATTAAAAACCAACTAAGCATATATATGCTCGTAATAAACATATACATATATATATTTTATGTATGCATATTTATTGCTTGCTGATTTTGTGCGTGCCATGCAAGTTATAATTGAGGCTAAACACAGATATTGGCATTTACGCCCTTTACATATTTCGCATGAAATATATATTCGATATGATAAAAAAAATGGTAAATAATGGTATTTGTTTGGATACATATATATATATATGTATGTATGTATATATAATGATTCATACATGAAAAAAAAATGGTGTTGAAAATAGCATCGTGAACACTTCTTCAATTATCTCATACTTCGTAGAAAGCATGCAAACTAATAATTATATCGTAACAAAATTTTCTAAGCCAATCCATATATACTTTTAAAAAATAATATATTTAAAAGTGTTTATATTTTTGTATTCCTAAAAAAACTTCAACTTGTTAGTTATGAGCTACAAAAAAAAATTTAATATTAATTTAAGCATTCGAATTATAAACTTAAGACAATAAAAACTTATATATGTATTCATAAACTACAACATATATATACTAATTATTTTATCAAAAAAAAAAACTTATATATAAGGGAGACTTGTTTTGTTTCTGTTTCCTCTTAACTACAGTTTAGGAGCCTTTGAACCCATTAATAATATATAGGAATGTCCAAACAAGACCAAAACGGATTATATACATATATATATATATGTATACATAAAATAATTAGTATATATATGTTGTAGTTTATGAATGCATGGAAATATATTTTTACATGATTCGTGTATATACGCAGAAATAATTCGAACTCGAATATTTCCTCGACTAGCATTTAATTATTTATATGCATAGTCTCATGCTAAAGGAGACTAATTTATTTGATGATTCCTTTCATGAACCACGGCGTCTCCAAGTCGTATATAGGAACAGCCAAGAGCATACCTAGCAACCCCCATGATCTAGATTTTGAAGTTGACATTCCACTAAATTACGTTCCATATACGACAATTTTGCACTTTGTTTTACACTAACTATACATATAAACGTTTTTAAATTCCCGTTTTTATAATATACTTAACATATAATAAAACAATTTGACGAAGAATAAATATATGATGTACGTACGTATCAATTGTACTACATCCATCCTGATTATGACACCTCCAAAAGTCAACGCTTATCATCTCGCTTATCATACCAACTCGCCGTTTTTTAAGTTCGCATCTCAAATTTTTTTAAAAAAAACTTGTTAATATTATAATTTATATGCAGTGGGTTAGTTCCGATTTAAATAAGTTTCCACATGACCAAGTAGAATATGCTTTTATTTAATGCTCCCTCCTCCGAATTGTTTTAGTTCAGCGATTAGTCAGTATAATCAATTATTATAATGGGTACATACGTGCGCACACATAAACGTGTGATTTTCTATATACACAATTATAATCACACACACCCATATACATACATATATACATATATATATATATATAGAGAGAGAGAACATTGTTAGTCTTGGAGTTGGAGTTACATGTTCATGAGCATTAGGATGCTATCTTAATCGAGTTCTACACAGATTATCCATTACAAAAAAAATAAAATGCTATTTTACTAGAAATAAGCTTGGAAACCAAATCATGGGCAATCATAAAACGACGCCGTTTATAGATGGACTGGAGTTTAATATTGGGCTGAATACGGCCCATGGGTAATTATATACTATTGGGCCCACATCAATTTCCCCAGATCCGGCTTGATATTTTTGCGGCCATCACGTAAATACACCAAATAAACGAGGGTTTACGTGCAAATATCTAAGACTTTGAAAACCCTAGCAGTCGTTTCCATTAATTTGTAGCAGACTAGGGTTCCCGTTTCTTTCATTCTCTAGTGCCGCAGCAGGAGTGAGAAGCCGAGGCGCGTCGATCTCAGGGAAGCAGCGGAAGACCGTACATCGTCACCATGGGCCGTATGCATAGTAGAGGGTTCGTCGGCTTCTTTGTTCTGGTCCTTTTCTGTTTCCGATATCACAAGACCATTGCTCGTGTTGTGTCTGTCTGCTGATCTATTTCGCGTTGTGTTGTTTGTTCCGTAGTAAGGGTATTTCGGCATCTGCTTTGCCGTACAAGCGGACACCGCCGAGTTGGCTCAAGACCTCTCCACAGGATGTAAGAGTTTCAGAATCTTAGATTTGTCTTGTATTCACGTTTCAGAATCAGAAATCGGCATTACCTATTGCGTGAATATTGGTTGAGGTTGATGTTGTTATGTTTTCCGACAATTGCTGATTATACTTGTCCCGACAATTCCTTTCTCCGGTTGAGGTTGAGAGCGTGTGGCATTCATAGCAACCATATGATACAATATGTTGTTGGGTATCTGTGTGTGTGTGTGTAGTAACTTGACTTTGTTAGTCTAGGACCGTTGTTATGGAATTCCCTGATAGGTGATTTGTTAGATAATTTTGTAAAAGTTCTGTAATAATTTCAAAGCCATGATGATTTTGGATAAAGCCATAAACTCGATGGTGAGAAAGATGAACAGTGTACAAATAGACAGTTGATATTGGAGTTCTTTAGCCTTAGGCTTCGAATTTCCCTATACCAAAAGCAAAAGGTATGAAGTAAATGGTGCTTTGAATGTGATAAGTTGTCTGAGTTAGGGCTTTGATCCTGTTTTTTGATCAAACAGGTTGATGATTCCATTTGTAAGTTCGCCAAGAAGGGTTTGACCCCATCTCAAATCGGTGTCATCCTTCGTGACTCTCATGGAATCCCACAGGTGAAAAGTGTCACCGGCAGCAAGATTTTGAGGATTCTCAAAGCCCATGGTATGTCTGTATGTCGGGTATTTTTTTTTGTGGTCGGTCTTGTCTTTTGTTGTCGATAAACATGGGACTAAGAGTTTATTGTAAATGTAAAGGTCTTGCTCCTGAGATTCCTGAGGATCTGTACCACCTGATCAAGAAAGCAGTTGCTATCCGCAAGCACCTTGAGAGAAACAGGAAAGACAAAGATTCCAAGTTCAGGTTGATTCTGGTGGAGAGCAGGATCCACCGGCTTGCTCGTTACTACAAGAAGACCAAGAAGCTTCCTCCTGTCTGGAAATAGTAAGTACTTAACTTCGTTATGACCTGGTAGTTCTATTTCACACAAATCGTTTCCTGATTAGCCAGCATGGTTTAATTTAATATAAACTGAAATGGCATGTGGGAACATGATCAGACCAGAGTGTTGTTTAAACTGCTCGATAATTATCTTGATTGTATCTGTTTTTTTTAATTCTGAAAATGGATCTTAACAACATTTTGGTGGATATTGTTTATCTTTCTCAGCGAATCTACCACAGCCAGCACTCTTGTGGCTTAGAGAGGCATGGAGTTGGTGTAAAAGCTTCAAAGAACACCTCAGATTGCGTTGGCAGCATTTGGACTTCAGTTTCTTCTGCTCTTGAACTAAATCTCTGTGTCTTTTTTTTTGCCTTTCTAGTTTTGTCGGGTTACAATGAGATTTTGAACATTTTGAGAACACAGAGTGTTTTATTTATCACCAGACTGGTTCATGGTTCTCTTACGGCACTGAGCTCATGCAGAATCTCTACTGCTTCTTTGGCTTTTCTTTCATTTGGGTTTGTGTGGAAACGTGATAAGGTTATTGTATTATCTCATCATTTCATTTCAAAATCTGTCTGCAATAGGCTCATCGCCGGAAGCAACAACGACGATGACAACTCAAAAAAAAAAAAATTAAAGAAAACGAGATCGAAAACAAGAATCACAACGAACGGAGGAGAGTTCAGACACAACTGAAGAAACATCATCTAGCATCAGCTTTGTTCCCATCACCACCAGAGTAGTAACTCACGTACCATCTGACAAACTTCTTGAGACCTGTCTGAAGATCCGTACTGGGCTTGTACCCGAGCTCGTGTTGAGCTGAGCTAATGTTGGCGTGAGTGAACGGAACGTCTCCGTTTCTGGGCATCTTCATTATGTTCCTCTTCGCCTTCACCTTCAGCAGCCTCTCCAGTATTCCGACGAGATCCGATACCGGAACCGGCGAAGTGTTTCCCAGGTTGAACACTCTCAGCTGAGCAGGCCCCTTCTTCTTCCCTCTGCTTCCGGTGCTCTTCTCCGCCGTATCCAGCGCCGCCAGACAACCCTTCACTATATCGTCGATGTACGTGAAATCCCTCGCCACCGTCCCGTGATTGGCCGCTTCGAATATCGGAATCGTTTTCCCTTGAAGAATGTCCCTCGTGAAGAAGAAATACGCCATGTCTGGTCTTCCCCAAGGTCCGTACACCGTGAAGAACCTCAACCCGGTGAGAGAGAGGCCGTAGATGTGGTTGTACGTGTGAGCGATCTCTTCTCCGGCTTTCTTCGTGGCAGCGTACAAGCTTGCCGGTTGATCAGTTCTGTCCTTTTCGGAGAACGGGACCTTCGTGTTGAGGCCATAGACAGAACTCGACGAAGCCCACACGATCGCAGGTTGTCGGTTCACGGATTTGCACACCTCGAGGAGATTCACGAACCCGGCGATGTTGCTGTGGACGTAGGAGCTAGGGTTCTCCATGGCGTACCGTACACCGGCCTGAGCGGCCAAGTGCATGACGTGGGTGAACGGCACGAGCCTGAAGAGCTCCCTGAGTAATGCGACGTCGTTTATGTCTCCTTCCACGATGAAGACGCCACTTCGGTCCAACAGCGCTTGGCGGGCTCGTTTCAGAGAAGGGTCGTAGTAGTCATTGAAGTTGTCGAGACCCACGACGCCATCGCCGCGGCGCTTGAGCGCGGCGGAGACGTGAGTTCCCACGAAGCCGGCGGCTCCGGTGACGAGGACGGTCATGGCGCCGTTGGAGGTTCGGATTTGGGCGGATGCTCGGACCCGTTTCTCCCAAGCGGGTCCTCCGTAGCTGTAGTTTCGGAGCGAGCGGCGAGATGGATCCGACGGCGAAGAATTCGACGGCGGAGATCGGAGGAAGAATACGAGTATGAGGCAGAGGAGGAAGAAGGAGAAGAATGTGAGCTTGGTGAGGGATGAATGCCACCTCGCGCGGTGCAAGTACGGCGACTTGTCCATCTTGAACTTGCCTGGACTCGAAGGTATGTCGTCAAGGCGCGACATTTTTCCCGGGAAAGTGGCGGAAAATGCAGAGGCACGGTTCTGGGTCTCCCTCAATTCGTTTCCAGTTTTCTGGGTTTCCCTCAGATTCTCTCCTTTTTTTTTTTTTTTTAATCCTCGCAGCTTCTTAGAATCTTTGGGTTTCTTACAAGAACGGATTGTGGATGTTTCTTAATGATGACTCCACGATGTAAAGATCTGAAATCCGATTTCTTTTTGTTTAAGTTTTTAAATAAAAATAATAAAAAAAATGTGCGGCTTTTGATCTAATCAGTCTTGGATTAAAAATAGAAAGTGAGGTTCGTGTAAAACAAACAAAAAGCTTGACAGGAGAGGAAAGAGGGGACAGTAAAACATAAATAAATCTTTGACTCTCGAGCTTTTTGTAGAGACAATGAGATTTGATTGGTCAAGAACTCCCCCAAAGTTAGGGAAGCCTCTAATCTCATGTTTTATTAAAGGAAGACCCTTTGGAGGTTTGGATTTTGTTGAGAGATTGGTAATGGCGTATGGCTGAAATTGGGCCCCTAATTTTGAATAGGTTGTTTCCAATCCCTAGATTCAATGCCTTGTGCTTTGAAAGGTGTGAGAGATTTATGGGAGTTGGGAAATGTTTGTGGCATTCAAGAAATACCCATATTGTTGTGTTCATCATCCCTCAATCTTGTGAGCAATGCGTGAAGATTTCATGAAGTAAAGTGCTTTGAAATAGTTTAATTTTGGGCCAACCAAAGTTTTGAAAAAAAAAAAATTGATATTTGTATCATTATGTCTTGATCCTTTGATTACAATGTGCATTGAAAACAGTTGTCAAGGGATGACAGGAGGGCTTTTTTTCTCTATGGTACAAAATGGCAAAAAGATACAAACCGCTAACACCCAAGCCCCATGTGAAAATCTGATCCCACACGAGACAAGAACATGGTACTCCTACTTCACCCTTTTGTGAAACGTGACTATATATTATAATAATAATAATAATAATAAAGATTCAAACTTTGGACAGAAACATTCACGGATCTCACTTTCACTCGGATTATGGGAAAATCGATACAAAGAGGCATGTCCATGTCCACCAGACAATGTAATGATACTCTTGACGCTCTGATGAGTTTTGTAACGTTACAAAGGTAAAAGACAGAAAGCACACGCCATTTGATGTGGGTTTAGAGCTTGGTGACTCTCTCAAGGACTTGGAAATAGTCAGGGAAAGTTTTCCTGGTGCAGCCAGGATCCCTGATGGTGACTGGAACATCTGCACATGCAGCCAGAGAAAACGCCATTGCCATTCGATGATCATCGTATGTGTCGATCTCAGCCGGCTTCAGCTTCTCCGGTGGAGTGATCACGCAATAATCCGGACCCTCTTCCACCGTCGCTCCCAGCTGCAAGAAATCGCCAAAGGAATGGCCAGGAGTTGCTTATAATGAACATCGAGAAGCATAGAGATGGTTAAACACTGCAAAAGATAGATGGAATCTACCTTTCTAAGCTCTGTGCAAATTGCAATCATCCTTTCTGTCTCCTTTACTCTCCAGCTGGCCACTGCATGCAGGAAGATGAAGAGTTAAATGCAGATGAATCTTGGAGGAGAGGGAAGGTGAGGGGTGAAACAAAGAGTTCCTTACCGTCTCTGATGGCGGTCGGGCCGTCAGCAAAGAGAGCAACAACAGCAAGGGTCATGGCCACGTCAGGCATTTTGTTCATGTTGACATCAACACCACGCAAGTGCCTCATTCCAAAAGCATCTCTCGGTGGTCCGGTGACAGTCACACTGTTTTCCGTCCAAGTGACCTTGGCCCCCATTTTCTCCAAAACCTCCGCAAATTTCACGTCTCCCTTTATCCATTAGTACTAAATAGTTAGCTAATATAGCACATCGAACTCATCAAGGTTATAAAAAACGAAACTTTAAACAGATTGAATATCGTTACAGACATTCATAAACATAGTATCCTCTTCAAAAACACTTCCTCCATGTTTTTTTTTCTTTATTGTAAAGCAACGGAAAAGACCGCAAAAAATGAAATACTTCATACTAAAAAAATTTGGTGGAAAAAACTTAGACAATTCAGTCAAAAGAAATACCTGCAAGCTGCTTGTTCCACAACCTTCAACAGTGACAGTTCCACCAGTAATGGCGGCACCAGCTAAGAAATAACTAGCACTTGAAGCATCACCTTCAACATATGCATTACCAGGTGACCTGCAGCATTTGTCATTTCACCGTTTCCATCTCGTCTATGCAATTTCGGAATGGAAAAAAGATGATAAATGCATCGGAAGAAGCTTACTTGTACTTTTGACCTCCTTTGACATAGAAACGATCCCAACTATCACTATGCTCGGCATGGACACCAAAACGTTCCATCAACTTCAGCGTCATTTCAACGTATGGGACAGAAATCAATTTATCAACGATCTCAATCTCTACGTCTCCGAGCGCTAAAGGAGCTGCCATGAGCAAAGCAGTCAAGTACTGACTACTGATAGACCCAGAAAGCCTCACCTGCAAATGGCAACTAGTCAAATGTTTCAGCACGAAACCACTTCGTTTAAAGAATCAGAATGGCAATGGATCTCCCAAGAACCCTCTTTTCGTGTCGGCATAAACTGAATTTAGTCAGTACAGAGAAAGAAAATCTATGACACCTAACATTTAGTTCAGAGAGAAACATTAAATCGACTTTTGAAATTACCAAACTACATCTGTGGTGAACACACTATTGCAACATCTCACCTTTCCACCGGGAAGACCACCACTTGCATTTACGCGAACCGGAGGGCAGTTTGTGCCGAGAGTACATTCGACATCTGCACCGAGCTGCTTAAGACCAACAACCAAGTCCCCTATAGGCCTTTCCCTCATTCGTGGCACCCCATCAAGCACATAACTGAAATACATAGAAAATAACCAAAAACATCAACATATATGTCAAAATCACCAAACACCGAAAGGGAGGAATAAACTCTTTTGCCCACCTTGCGTTGCCACCGGCGGCAGTAACTGCAGCTGTAAGTGGCCTCATAGCTGTTCCCGCATTTCCCAGGAAAAGTTCGATTTCGCCCTTCGAATCTTTAGCAGCCGGGAATATTCCACCGCATCCTTCGACAATCGCACGGTTGTTTTCACTGTCATGTTCCACATTTAGCCCTAGTGTCTTTAACGCCCCGAGCATGTAATTGATATCGTCACTGTTCAACAGGTTGTCCACTACCGTTGTTCCCTACAGAGCAAGGCAAATAGATAGACAACGGAGATTCAACAATGACCGAAGCTAAACTAGCAAACAGAAGGAAAAGAAAATGAAAATAAACCACTGGTATCATCATGTAGTATCTCCATGACCAAACACGCAAATGCTTTGATCATATTGTCGTATATATCACAATTGAGGCAAAATCGAGCAATTTCGATTCTTTATTCCTTCACTAATCACAAATAAAGATCCCTCTGCCAACCCAAAAATACAGACTTTCTACACAAAGCCGACATAAGTAATCAAGCAATGGCCACCAGGAAAATGTCACCAAAATACGAAAGTCTCGGGATTTTAGCAAATACGAACACAAGCTGGAGCTGAGAAGTTGCATATACCAGATAATTGAAATCGATAACAATATTCGTGACTCTAAATTCGGAAATAAAAAGCCGGTCAAAGGAATAAATCGTGTGATACCTCAGACAGAGCAGCGAGAAGCAAAATCCGATTGGACAGAGACTTCGAGCCCGGCAACTTAACCAGACCCGAGATTTCTCTGATGGGTTGAAGCACAATCTCTGGAGCCTTCGAGGGCTTCTCGGCCGTGCTGACGGAAGCCACAACCCTAACCGGACGAATTCCCGAAGCACCCAGATTCCTCGCACTCTTCTTCAAGCCCCAGGACGAACTCGGGTAAGTTTTGAGCTGCTGCGTCCTCAGCGAAACCGAGAATGGCGATTTGGGTTCATGGGTTTTGGAGAGGTTGGGGATAACACGTGGATTCTGGACGCCATGGCAGATTCTGCTCGCTTGCGCCATTGGCTCTCCTCGGGGAAGATTGCAATCCTCTCTATGCAAAAATGGGGTTTTTTCAAAGTTGAGAAATTGGGAATGGTGGGTTTTGGTGAAATAGAGAGAGACGCTTATTTGTTGTTGAGATTTGACGGCTTCCCACCAACCTACCCTCTTTGTCCCTCCGATTTAACTTAATAAACCAAATATCAAATATCCACAACTCCAAATTTCTCCATTTATTCCGAAATTAAAATCCAAAATTTCATGTGTTCTTTCTTTAAAAAATTGAATTCCGTCAATATAACCGTATGTAAATACATTTCTAAAACGAAAATTATTGATATATATTTTTTTAATGAGATTGGTGGAAGAACACTTTGGGGGGAGTTGGTGGGGGGAGTAGAGTTCATTGCCTTTGGAGATTTCACAGTCAAGGCTCGGAGGCAGCCAAGAACTCTCCACCAACCCAATCAACCAACCAAAATTTGACACGTGTTTTTGAATGTTTGTGATCGCGCAGCACCTGATCCATCCCCCGGAAACGTGGGGCCTTTGGTAGGTGAACTTGGGACTGGAGTGGAGGGTCTCCAAATCCAATCTCATATATATATATATATGTAATACACACACATTATTATATCACTACATTAAATAAATGATGAGCCTTTTGGGCCTACGTGTCATTTGTGGGCTTTATAAAGCCCACAAATACATTTTCCGCCAACAAAAATGATCCGAATATGCTTTGCTTGCAGTATATTCCACGTCACGTCCCCTTCCTTTGGGATATACTCCAAATTGGTTGGCCTCAACTCCATGTGTGTGGATGGAAATTGGATTTATTAGGGTGGAATATGATAAAGGGTTGTCAATGAATTTGGGCTAAAAAGACAAAAGACACACAAAAATGGGACATGTGATGGTGAAACAGAAGATCGCCAGCCGCAAGTTAACATCTTCCCCCACTCTCTTTATCGGTTAGACAGAGATACGGTCCGAAAATTTAAATGGACCTCAAGAAAACCCTAATATGTTATGCAAATCCTTGATGGTATTTTGGTAAATAAAAACAATGGTGTCTTCTTTCACGTTACCCAAGATTTCCCCATCCAGTGGATGGACGGTTCCTGTCTCGCGCCCCTGTTTTATCAGTTGTGTTTTTTTTTGTAAGAAGATAAAACTCTGTGGTGGGGAAAAAAATCTCTGGATTTGAAGCATAACAATACAAGAGTTGTTACAGATAATGGAGTTCCCAGTCCTCCCATGGCTTTGCTCTTCTCCAAACCTATGTTGACTTCTCAAGGAATTACAAGAAAGAAACAAAAGGAAATCTCTTCATCTTGCTTTTTTTTTCTTTTATTTGATTTAAAACAGAGGGGAATGCTGAGAACAGCTTCTCTGTAATGTGACATAGCAAACCAGAGAAGAAGATCTAGATCAGTGCCTTAGCTGCTGCAATAACAGCGTCCACAGTTATACCGAACTCCTTGTAGAGTAAGCCTGCTGGTGCACTGGCCCCGAAGGAGTCAATCCCGATAGCCTTCCCTTTCGACCCGACAACCTTTTCCCACCCGAAAGTCGATCCAGCTTCAATGCTAACCCTAGCCGATACATCAGATGGCAAAACGCTTTCCTTGTATGCATCTGACTGCTCAGCAAAGAGCTCCCAGCACACAAAGGACACCACTCTAACAGCTTTGCCTTCCTTCCTGAGTTCCTCAGCTGCCTTAGCAGCGATTTCTAGCTCAGACCCAGTTCCAATCAAGATCACATCGGGTTTGTTACCGGACGAGTTGTCAGAGATTGTGTATCCACCCTTCTCGACGCCTTCAATGGATGTGCCGGGAAGTTGAGGCAGCTTTTGCCTAGAGAGTGCTAAGACAGAGGGTGTCTTGCGTTTAGAGACGGCAATCTTGTATGCACCAGCTGTTTCGTTACCATCAGCAGGACGGAACATCAGAATATTGGGCATGGCACGGAAACTGACCAAGTGCTCAACTGGCTGGTGGGTCGGCCCATCTTCTCCGAGACCAATGGAATCATGGGTCATCACGTAAATAACACCAGCTTCAGACAAAGCTGAGATTCTCATGGCAGCTCTCATGTAGTCAGTAAAGACAAAGAAAGTTGCACAGTAGGGGATAAGGCCCGGGCTGTGAAGGGTAATGCCGTTGCAGATGGCTCCCATACCGTGCTCCCTAACACCAAACCTTAGGTTTCTCTCTTCGGGTGTCCCCTTTTGGAAATCACCAAACATTTTGAGCAATGTCATGTTGGAAGATGCAAGGTCAGCACTCCCACCAAGGAAACCGGGCACAACATTTGCAAGGGCATTAAGGCATTGCTGAGACAGGTTTCTGGTAGCATCACCCGGGGACTCAGGGGTATATGTCTGAAAATGAAAAGAGAAAGCAGTCATAAAAAAAACAGATCAAGAAAACCAATCAAAACTAAAGATGGTAAAGCATAATCACCAAATTAAAGATTTACTTACAGGCAGTGCCTTCTCCCAACCAGAAGGCAATTCACCAGTGATGATAGCTTTCAGTTCTGCAGCTTCCTCTGGGTATTTCTTCTCATACTCTGCAAACTTGGCATTCCAATCAGCTTCAAGAGCAGCCCCTTCAGGGGTATGCCGGCTCCAGTGGCTGGAAAATGTACGAAACACAATAAAGAACAGAAACTTTCCAATACCATAAAAAGTAACAGAAGCCAAATTTAGATCTACTAACCTTTTAACATCGTCAGGTACATGCAATGGCTCATAGGGCCATCCAAGGTTCTTTCTAGTTGCCTCAACCTCCTTCTCACCAAGTGCACTACCGTGTACACTGTACGAGTTTGCCTTGTTGGGAGACCCAAAACCAATGGTGGTTGTGACCTGCAGATTCAACGGGCTATATGTAAAATGGTAGCCAATTATCTGGAAAAAGCGTTGCTTAATGGCTAAAGAAATGTGCATATACCTTGATCAATGTGGGCTTGTCTTTCACAGCCTTAGCTTCCTTGATGGCAGCACGGATCTCGTCATAGCCAGTGTTTCCATTCTTCACCCAGATAACATGCCATCCAAGGGCTTCAAACCGTTGGTCAACATTCTCGGTGAAGGCAATTTCCGTGTCACCATCAATGGAAATGTGATTGTCGTCGTAAAAAGCAATGAGCTTTCCAAGTCCCCAGTGGCCAGCAAGAGAGCAAGCTTCATTTGAAATTCCCTCCATCTGACAACCATCTCCCAGGATCACATATCTGGATGAAGCAAACCATTTTAAGCATTAACCCAACCACACAAGGCAGCTTTTTTTGCAATAACCAAAAAGTCTATGTAAGTAATGGCAGGAGGATTTCACATATTACGTGTAATGGTCAACAATTTCACTGTCGGGTTTGTTGAATCTAGCTGCCAAATGCCTCTCAGCAAGAGCTAAACCGACACCATTCGCAATACCTTGTCCGAGAGGACCTGATCACAGATAAAAGAGGACACAACGATTATCACCATTGACAGAGAAGCTTAAGTAAAATGGTAAGAACTAAAAATCCAAGGAGTACAAAAGCCAACCGGTAGTCACTTCAATTCCAGGAGTCTCGAAGTTCTCGGGGTGTCCCGGTGTTCTGCTTCCCCACTGACGGAAATTCTTCAAATCTTCTTCCTAATGAACAATCAATCATAAATCATAAATTCGTCTAGTAACTCAAATCTCAGTCTCCCAATCATAGATCAGATATGCGTATATACATCCACCCCGGATGAACAGAAGAACGCAGAGATTACATTCTGCAACTATGATCAGTTTGATGGAAAACGGAAGATCCATATCTTATCAGTTTGAATTTCCAACTCCCCACCACCGTATAGATTCAGGCCACTGATTTCAATAAGCCCACGATCTAGAAATTGAAAAGGAACCAATGGAGAAGAGAAAAACAACCTTAACGCTGTCGTATCCAGCAAGGTGAAGCAATGCGTACTGCAACATACAACCATGTCCAGCGGAGAGAACGAAGCGGTCACGGTTGAACCAGTAAGGGTTCTTGGGGTTGTACCTCATGACTTCATCGTACAAAATGTGACCCATCGGGGCACAGCCCATGGGCAAACCCGGGTGACCCGAGTTCGCCTTCTGCACAGCGTCGATCGCCAGGAACCTGATCGTGTTGATCGACTTCTCCACAACCGACGCCTCAGTGGTTGTGTCAATCGTCTCCACGGCGGCGGCACGGATTACGGGGCGGGTATCGCGGTGGCGCGTGGGTCCGGCGCGTCTACGGGAGGAGGAGGCGGCGCGTGGGCCGGTGGATTTGAGGCCGGAGAAGGCGGGTAAGGAGACGCGCTGGTCAGAGCCATGGTGAGAAAGGGCGCGGGCGAGGAGGGCTTGAGAGAGCGCAAGGGAAGAAGTGGAAGCCATGGATGCGCTCTCTGGTTCTAGAGAGAGAAAGAGGAGCTAGTGGTGAAGAAATGAGCGATGAGCGTCTCGGCAAGTTGGATTTTTAGGGGATTATGAGCCAACCAAACACTTCTTTCCACATCTCCTCGTATACGCTAAGGGACAATTCCATCCATCCAAATCTGACCGTTAGATCTGGAAAGGCCACATCCTGACCGTTCATTGCGGCTAAGAGTTCAGTGATCCTCTCTGCCTTTCACCAAAAACCATAGAAATAAATATTTTAAGTTCCATTTGTCTTTTCCAAAATTAATAATTATCTTTCTTTCCGTTTAAATGGAATAATGAATTCGAAGTTCAACAAAAGAAAAGATGCCGTCAAGAGGTCAGATAACGGCGGCTGAAGTTGGTGGAAAGCAAAATCAAGGGCCTTGAGATGTTGGTTGGGTAGCCGTTTGGTGAAATAATCAAAGTAGATTATTACAGTCATGATAATAATATTAACCTAACAACATTAGTTGCTTTGGATCTGCAAATTGATCCAAGACTCCACATCCAGTTGTCCGAATACACACGTTTCCTTAACCGGGTCAAACCGGAACAGTAATGGATTCTGGTTCTGGTTCAATCTTCAAAAACCAGACAGGATGTTTTGTATTGATCCAGTTCAGACATTGTAATGGTAGCAAACAAAGGAGACAGCACCTGTGTTTTGTTTGCCAGCATTGCCACTTTTAATGGCAAAGACTGCTAAAAAGGGGTAAGAAAGATCGGATCTTTACATCATCTTGACCCGCTTGCTGTTGGAGGACGAGTTTCTTATGCCTCGGCCAGTTACAGAGAACGGTGCAGAGGCCGACGGAAGTGAAGGGGACTTGTCTATGTATGCATAACGCTCTTCACCGTTCCAGTACAAGATAACTCGGTTGGTGCAAGAATGAGACCAGCTATCTCCTACTCCACCCACATCCAGAGCCAATGAGCTCAAGCTTGAGATTGTAACAAAGGATGATGGCAAAAAGAAAAAAAAAAAAGGAGAGATGGCTTACCTAGGGCAAGAGCTAACTGGAAAGAACCTTCGGTGTACTTGGTGGTCACCTGATTCAATAAAACAACCTGCCATGGAGAAGCCAAATACTATGTTTGATCTTGTAATTTACAGTATAGGACAAATCGTTAGGGCCACAAGTGAAATGGGTCTGGCAGAAGTGGGTCATAACAAGTTTCGCGAGATAGATAAGTGCCTAAGAACAGCTCTTACCGCTAACGAAAATGTCTTGGCCAGTTTCATGAACTTCAAAGCCATCTCACTGAGCACTCGGGTCCTCTGGACCAAGTCCTCAAAGTCCTGTCGGAAATGAAATGTGATACTGTCTACAATGACCACTTTAACCTGCAAGCATAAAAACAAAATGCCTGGTCACAAGGAAATCACCCATGAGTAACAAACCAGAGACTTTGGGCAACCAGTCTAGATATAAATAAGATCAGGGCCAAGAGAGAACTGACAAGATGCATATACCTACATCTTTATTTTCAGAGATGAACTTCTCAAGATGATTGACCAATGCAATTTGCTCAGTGTAACTGCAGACACGGAAATAGAATATGTTCTCCAGGATATCCTTGGGCTGCATCTGAACTTGGCTTGCATGAAAATGTTTATGCATGTATCCTGTGTATTCTGCCATGTCTTCAACACATGCTTCTGCAATCTGTAGAGCACGCTCCACCATGAAGCTGCCCTCAGTATCTGTGCATCCATCCATTTTAGAATTTCAAAAATTCAGTAAAGAATTAATCAGCAGAATAGCCAATGTGATAGTGATACCGAAAGATACCTATGTATATTGCTTTTCCTCCAAGACCACCAACCTCACCAGGAATCTGAACATTTACAGAGAGCTGGATCCTGAAACCGAACAGCAAGTCATTGGAAAAGTAGCTTCAAAGAGAAATTTACAAAAATGCAGTAGATGGGTTTACCCCAGTTGGGTCTTGCCCATCCCCGGAACCCCACCTGCAGATATAGACAACAATTCAATCCCTCATTACCCAATCCCATAAAGAGAACACATTTAGAAAAAAAAAGATAGATGACGGACCGATTTCAGTAACCTCCCTACAACTTATTCCACCACCCAAGATGTTATCCAGATCAGAGCAAGATGTAGTAATGCGTGCTAAGGATTCCTCCTCGCTGAGGATGTCCCAAGCATTCTTTGCACCTTTCCCAGTAACATATCATCGAAAGCGAATTCTTCAGTACTTTATATATGAAAAGCCACCACCTTTGGAGTTTGGAGAGTTCAGAAACTACCATTTATGACAGGGTGGTCTCGGGAGCTTGCACCAGACCCACTAGCTCGGGCTGAAAGTTGCAGAATATCAATGGCTTCCGCCTCTGTAATACTTAGATCTGCCCAGAGAAGAAGAATCACTAAAAAATGACCAAAACATTGGATTTAACCTTTCGTGATGGGAGGAAAACTTCGTCGCTAATAACATAGAAAGATAGAAAGACAAGTGCAATGGATAAAGAGATGTCTTGGGAGCGTCAGGGAGCAATTTGGCAGAGTTTTTGCTTAAGGGATAAACCCTAAACCCCTATACCATGATACTTTGATTTCACCGTAATGGAAACGAGGGCAAAGCAGCATTTTTCCGGAGAAACTGAACTAGGTTACACTCGTCAAGCAGATTTCAGCATATTCAAAGATGAGGGCAAAGCGTCATCTGCCTGAGAAACTAATCTAGGGTACAATTCAAGCTCTTCTCTCAATCCCGATTCGGCCCAAAAGTTCATGATTCTCGAGTTTTTCGTGAAAAGTGGAAGTGGAATGGACGAAGAATTTTCAAGGTAAGGAGTAATTCACCTCGAGCGAGATCAGAGGAAGAAAGGGAAGAAGAAATCGAGGAGAGAGAAGTATAGCCAGCGGATATCAGCTTTCCTCTCAGCGACGACGACAATGGCAGCATCCACACCTCCATCACTACGGCGGCAAAAGTTGCTTCAATCGCCTGCAATTTGGCGCCAAACAGCGTTTTCTTTTCCTCGGCACCATCATTGTCGGAACGAACGGGCAAAAAAGGAAAAGAACCGGGTCGGGTTAAAGTTAATCGGGTCGACCGTTTCTTTGCTTGTGGATAATAACGCATATGGAAATGATCCTTCTTCCTTCTTCTATTCGATAATCCATGGAAACTACATCTCAAAGCTTTTCTAATTCAAAACATCATCTCCATTCGGACACAGAATACGTTTGGAAGAATACATTTGGTCTTGAATCATGACATCAACTTCTGGTAACATCAAGAAGTTACAAAGATCTGTCTCCCTCTCATCATACTTCTCCAAACAAATTACACAGGAAAGCTTATGCGGATTCAATCCTTGGCTTCAGTTGCAGACACTGTCTTCTGCTTTATGTTTGTTGTCGAGTAGAGAAGCCTGGATGATGGAAGTGAGTGAAGGGTGGATTCTGGCCCTCTTCACTGACCGAGCTTCGCTTCTTCCTTCAGCGTACTCCTCTCCCAATGGCCACCTCGGTCGTAAATCATACTGGTTTCACAATCCATACATCACTAAAGTTGGAATCTTTTCACCTTTCGAAGAGAAAATTACCCACAAGAACCGAATTCTTTTTGTTTGTTTTGCATTGAACATACCACGGTATCTTCAGGCTCATCTGCTGCTGGTGGTGGATCGTACCTTCCCACACGAAAATGTTCGAGACCCGTCCAAGCTACCATCACTCCTACCAAAAAAAAAGGCTCAACTTTAGATAAGTGTGAAGCTTCAGAGCTTCAATTTGACGGGTAAGAGGATCTAAGGCCTACCATTGTCTGTGCAAAGGCTGGGGGGAGGGCAAACAAGTTTTAGCTTTCTCTTTTCAACAACGTGACTGAGCCGAGCCCTTACATATTGATTCGAAGCAACACCGCCAGACACTACCTATCACATAACAGGTAGAAGAATGATGAAACAATATTAGTCTGGAACAGTGTTGCTAAGAAAACAGAACCCTTCTCATTAGGCTCACCAGATGTTGTATAGAAGGCTCGATTTTTAATGCCCATTCTATTGCTCGTTCGCACTTTTCTTCCAGATGTAAGACTGCAACTCGCTGCATTTTATAACTGCACATCGTCAGAAGCTGGATTCTTACAGGAGCAATATCATTTTTAATTGCAGTGGAATGAAACTGCTCCATGAGTTAGCTTCTCCATCCTCAGAGATTTGTACCTGGAAAGACGCAGCAACATCCGCTCGGTGTCTTCTGTCCTCACTTGTGGCAGAAGAAACAGGGCATTTAGCATCGCTACAAGCCAGCAAAAACCATTCTTTACTACCCAGTCAATTGGCCAAAAGGGTTAATGATAAGAATCAGAATTGACTGTACAACGTGAGTCATAGGATAAGAGAGAGTTCCAAGGAAAATTACTATGGTGCCTGATGTGACATAACTTGGAAATACAACTTCAAAGCTGATTGTGTGTATTAATTGTTACTCACATGCCTTTGGCTTCAATAGCCAGTCTCACTTGAGTCTTCAAACCAGCATAAGAAAAGTTGCAATCTTTATGATGCTTCATTGGAACCTGGAAACAGAACGAGCGGATACTTATGGGCCGGCTTCACCAAAGGGTCATAGCTAAATATTGTGAACAATCGAATGAAATTGGAAAATGAAAAATTTTAGAAAAATTATAACCAGAGAGAAAACTGTTGTCTTGCGAGCCATGTCTTACATTGAACTTAACAGATTCTGCATCACCCTCCAGAGCGAGTTCTTCAACAGCTGGTCCACCGCTTCTCCTCATGTCAAGGCCAAGCCATTTTGCTGTCTTGTCAAAGGCCTCACCAATTGCATCGTCTACTGTAGTCCCGAGTTGTGTGTACTGTCCAAGACCATGAGCAAGAACAAGAAGATTGTGCCCTCCTAGGACAAACACAGGCAGCGGTTTAGACAGAAACCTAAGTCCCTTGAGAAGATGAATTGACTCAAAGAAAACCCGTTTATGCAATACCTGATATTAGCAATGCCATGAAAGGAAATGTCAATTCCCGTTCACTTAATCTGCACAAACAGAACCGTAGGAAAGCTGGTGAGCGTCTCCCATATCGAATCTCCAAAGAGAGACAAGACCCTACTATTTAAACAAGCTAGATGTCATACTGAGCTTTATCAAGTACTATACCTGGCCACGAGGGCATGAGCTTCCATGTGATGCACACCGACAATTGGCAGACGGAAGCTACCAGCAACTCTTCGAGCCTTCTGCACACCAACTGTATGATTGAACAGCAAATACTTACCCTATTAGTTCCCTAACTACACCTAATCATTTCAAAAGCACAAGAGCAAAGAGAAAAGAAAGGAAGATTTTTTACCACGTAGACAAAGACTCAAACCAGGCCCAATGGTAACAGCTACAGCAGAGAGCTCCTTCTCGGTTACATTTGCTCTATCAAGTGCTTCTTGCACAACCTGCACTTAAGGAATATGCATTTCTTCCCACCATCAGCATGTGAAAAAACACAAGAAACTGCTAAAGTATTGATGCAGGAGACATGTCAAGACACACAAATAGAGAACATAAAGTCTGGTCCACTGCCACCAAAAGATACATCCTCATTATGGCGCATACGAGTATAGTTAGTTTAGATGCAACATGATGTCTGAGCTCTCCACCTTATCGATGGCCTCGGAATGTGCTTCTTCTGCTTGTTTAGGCGCAACTCCTCCATATCGAGCAAGCAGTTCTGCCTTGAGGTAAGCCAATAGGGATATCAGGACAAGCGAAACAAAGAATGATAAATGGAGAAACCATAACCACAATTACTTCTGTCGAAACTGAATTCCTAAGCAGATCAAAATTCATCAGATGACTCGTAGAAACATCAAATAGTCCTACAAAAATCTGTTCTTGCATAACATATCACGATGTTTAACAATCCAAAAGTAGAAAGCTTTTCTGATGGAATTTCAAACAGCAAAACTTGGGCAGCTCTGAACGAGATTTACCACAGGAAAAAAGGGACAACCTTTACCTGAGAAGAAACGACTTGGCTAAGAATTTCTCCATTGCTCCTCACCTAAGCACCACAAAGTGTAGGATATTACTATAAGAAAAAAAGAGAAACCGAGTGATTTGCCTTCCATAAAGAAACGGGAGGAAGAGAAGGAATGCCAACGAATTAACAGCTTACAACAGCAGCAGCAGTGTCGTCGCAGCTCGTTTCAATACCCAAAACGACCAAATTCTCATCAAGCTTCGAAATTTCGTTGCTGGGCAAGAAGGGCACTCTCGTTCCATTCGAAGAAAAACATCTCACTGGAGACGAAGAAGAGACAAGCGACAACGTTGGACTTACAAGCTTCTGTTGCGTATGATGGTCCTTCTGCAACCTCCGAGAAGGTAAAATCGAGAGGAGTGAGTTTCTCGGGAAAACATTCAAGCGGGAAATTGCCGGAGAAAGCGTGAGAAATTGGCGAACCATTTTCCACAGGGTCGATTGATGAGTCTTTGTGCGTGTGCGGCATAGCTAAGCTTTTAGTTTAGACCGGAAGACCAAAGTACCTTTGGGACGAGACAGAGGGTTTGGGTCAGTTGGTAATTAAACTTTACCAAACGTTTAACAATGTCGTAGACTCGAAGTCCCGTACTCGTTTTTCTCCTAGTTCACTTCCTATCTAAGGATTCCTTTATCTTCTTCTTTTTCTTTCTCCTCCTCCTTAGGCTAAATCTCCGGCGAAGGATCCGGGGGAGAGCTCCGACAACTTTTTTGTTTCCGCTTGTTTGGTGTGAAAGCTGATGAAGAGTTAGCTGTCGGGAAACTTCTGTTCGGGGATTATTACCCCACAAAGCAAATTCAGGTGATCTCTTTGTTCTCGATCTTCTTCTCCAGTTCAGATCAAATTTCAGACTTGGTGCTTTCTCTATCTACCTGCAGAAATCAGGAAATTTGGGGGAATTTTCAGTTTCCAACTTAGGTAGGTCGTTAGGGTTTGAAGTTTCCTCATTTTCCATGTTTTCGTAGTCAGAACTTGTAGATACTTGCAAGAAATCGTAGTTTCCTGTTCTCTAAGCAGTTCCTCATCATTCCCCGATGGAGGAAATCTTTTCCCCTTCCGATCGAGAGAAACATCACAACCCTTGTTCTGTACTGTGATTTGCTTCAAGATTCGCGATCAAACGAAACATGATGAGAGTACGAAGTACCAAGGTTAATCAGCTCTGTCTTGAAGGTTTTTTTAACTTGTCGGGACAGTTTCATTTCAGGAACATTGGTTAAAAACAAAAGCCTTCGCTCCTAACTAGTTTGGAGATTTTCATTTCGTTCCTCAAATTGCCGTCCATCTGCTGTGCTAAGCTGTTGCCCTAATATCTTTGAATGACTTACTTCTTGTATATGTGTGATAGTGTTTTTTGTTATGGTTACGATTGATCTGTGGTTCCCCATGATTGATATGAGACAAATCGTGTTTGCGGCTATCGTGTTTGCTGAATCAGGTTTAAGGAATCCAACTGTTCTTCCCTGTTGTTGGATTCAGCTATGCTACCTGGTGGGTTGAAAGACACCCAACTCCGAGAGACCAACAGCCAAAAGGTCCATCCTCAACCCATGGAAGAATCTATTAACCAGAACCCAGAAGCAATGGAGGCACTGATTTCCAAACTGTTTACAAATATCTCGTCTTTGAAGTCGGCTTACATCCAGCTCCAAACTGCCCATACACCCTATGATCCCGAAAAGATTCAGTCGGCAGACAAGGTTGTGATTTCCGAGATAAAAAATCTTTCAGAACTCAAGCACTTTTACCGGGAGAACAACCCCAAGCCTGCATGTGTCTCCCCTCAAGATTCTCGCTTAGCTGCAGAGATCCAAGAGCAGCAAAGCCTCTTGAAAACGTACGAGGTAATGGTGAAAAAGTTTCAGTCAGAGATTCAAAACAAGGACTCTGAGATCATACAGCTGCAACAGCAGATTGAAGAAGCGACTCAGAAGCGAGCTAAGCTCGAGAAGAATCTAAAGCTAAGGGGCCTGTCCACAAGAGAATCAGAAGGTTCTGTGGCTGGTAGTGGACATTTTACTGTAGATTTAACCCCCGAACTCTTCATGTCACTCTATGAAGCTGCTTATAAAGCCGTCCATGATTTCTCAAAGCCGCTGATCAACATGATGAAAGCTGCTGGATGGGACCTTGATTCGGCTGCCAATTCTATTGAAGCCGATGTTGTTTATGCCAAGAGGGCTCACAAGAAATATGCATTCGAGTCATACATATGCCAGAGGATGTTTGTTGGGTTTCAGCAAGAAAATTTCTCAATCCAATCGGAAAGCCCATCAGATGATGCAGAGGCGTCCTTCCGTCAGTTTCTTGCTCTGAAGGACATGGATCCACTAGATGCCTTATGTCAAAGCCCGGACTCTACTTTCGGAAAATTTTGCAGGAGCAAGTATCTCAGCGTAATCCACCCAAAGATGGAAATCTCATTCTTCGAAAACATGGACCAGCGGAACTACGTTATGGGAGGCGGGCACCCGAGAACTGCGTTCTACCAGGCGTTCTTAAAACTCGCCAAGTCGGTCTGGCTTCTGCAAAGGCTTGCCTTTTCCTTCGACCCTGCAGCCAAGATCTTCCAGGTGAAAAAGGGCTGCGAATTCTCTGATGTTTACATGGAAAGCATCGTGAAGAATGTGGTTAGAGAAGAGAGGGAGCAGAGTCTGAGAGTTGGTCTCATGGTCATGCCCGGGTTTTGGATCGGTGGCAGCCTGATTCAGAGCCGTGTTTATCTCTCCGGCATGACATTAGCTGAATGAAGAGGGTTTTGCGTTCACCTGTGTTGAAGGCTCTGTATTGTACTTGCGTTATTTTCCATTCGCCGTGCTGTAACTGTATCGTCCGTGATGTACCGTTCGTCAGTATCTATTAAGCTCTTATGTTATCAAAAACCGCTCCTCCTCCTCGGCTAGTATCTCGACCGCGGTTGCTGGATGGGCCTGATATAATGGGTTTATGGGCCTGCACGGTGGGCCTTTAGGCCCATGGGTTTTAAGTCATTTGTGCATTTCGCGTCACAAACGGCATCTCCGCTGTAACTGGAAAGTGGAAACCATTCTGAGATCGGCAATCGAAAAATTTGGCGGGCGGGAATTAATCGAATTCTACTTCCCTTCGAAATCTGTCGTAGATTACGAATTGTGAGGAATTCCACTCTTAAGCTAACTTCGGGGTGAGTTGTAAGGTGTTATTAGGGCGAAAAACAAATGGGAAAATGGGTTCTTAGCTATATACGCGTGTCACCGAGACGTCTTCCCGGTGTATGCAATGAGACACACAAAACGAGACACATACAAAACGGTGACGTTTAAACTACACAAGTGAAAAATCGAAGTGCGAATTCATTCGTGACATCTAGAAGAACCTTTCAAAATAAACAATTCAAATCGTTACAACTGTCCATGTCGTCCATTATATACGTCTGAAAATACCTTTTGAATACCTTCCACCGGTTCTTCCGGTCAAAAGGTATACAAATGTCAACAAAATACCTCCAATACGGTATAACATTAGATAACCTCACTAGGTTTTTTTTTTTTTGCAAAATGACAATTTTTCTACACCAATTTAATAAAATGTGACATTTTTCTACACGAATTTTTAATTTGATAAAAACATACACTATATTATCAAATGTTCCAAATCGATACACGAATTATCCAATTTTACTGTAATTTACTACATAATCTGAAACGACGTTAAAATATCCGTTAATTGCTGATGTGGAAGGCCGTGGCGGCTGACGTGGAAGGTCACATAGAAAATTTTGTCACATCAACATGACACGTCATATTTTAAAAAAAAAATAAAAAATAAAAAAATAAAAAAAATTTAAAATCGAAAAAAATAAAATAAAAAATAAAAAATACATATATACATACATACAAATATATTTATATATACACACATACACATATATAAATACATCTATACAAATATATATATATATATACATACAAATATATTTATATATACACATATATTTACATATACACGTATATTTTTTTTTTATTTTTGATAGAGGATAAATATATATGTGTATATATAAATATATTTGTATGTATGTATATATATATTTGTATAGATATATGTATATATATGTATATATTTTTTATTTTGTATGTATACATAGATATATTTATAAGGAGTATACATGTTTATATTTGTATTTGTATATAGATATAAATAAATATGTATATACATATATAGATGTATGTATATATATGTATTTTTTTTATTTTGTATGCATACATATATATATACATATATCTATACAAATATATGTATATGTATAAATATATTTGTATATATGTGTATATATTATTTGTATAGATGTATATATATTTTTTATTTTGTATGTATACATAGATATATTTATACATAGGAGTATATATGTTTATATTTGTATTTGTATATAGATATGAATATATATATATATATAGATGTATGTATATATATGTATTTTTTTTTATTTTGTATGCATACATATATGTATACATATATCTATACAAATATATGTGTGTATATATAAATATATTTGTATGTATATATTTGTATAGATGTATGTATATTTTTATTTTGTATGTATATATATATATATATTTATATATAGGAGTATATATGTTTATATTTTTATTTGTATATATATATATATGAATATATATATATATACACGTATAGATGTATATATATATATGTATTTTTTTTATTTTGTATGCATACATATATGTATATGTATGTATATATATGTTAAATACATATATATTGTATATGTTTATACATACATATATGTATACGTATATTTATATATGCGTATGTGTGTATATATAAATATATTTGTATATATGTATGTATATGTATATATATGTTTTTTTTTAAATTTTTAATTTTTATTTTTATTTTTTTCGATTTTAATTTTTTAAAATTTTTTTAAATTTTTTTTTCTTTTTTATTTTTGAAAATATGACGTTGCATGCTGACGTGGTAAAATTTTTCACGTGACCTTCTACGTCAGCCGCCAGTGACCTTCCACATCATCAATTAACGGACATTTTAACACCGTTTCGGATTATGTACTAAATTGCAGTAAAATTGGGTAATTCGTGTATCGATTTGGTACATTTGATAATATGGTGTAGGTTTTTATCAAATTAAAAATTCGTGTAGGAAAATGTCACATTTTACTTAATTGGTGTAGGAAAATGTCATTTTTTTTTTTAATAACCAGGATGGTTTTTCGGGTCATCGCTCCACCTACATCCACACTAGGTCCGTAACCACCTTTTGTATGGACCATTTTGGTCCAGAAATTATATCTTTTTCCACCAATGGAATCGAACCAGAACCCACCAACAGTTGGATAACCTCATTAGGGTTATTAATGTGTATGTATATTAACGAAATACGGATTTTTTTAAGTTATTAAACTCTTGGTCCAATATCTTTATTCATACAAAAATACACCATCAGTTGTGAAGCAATTCACGATTGTGAATTGATTTTATAGAACGACTCATGTTTATTCATTTTATATGATTAAATTGAAGATTATATCTTTTCACGAGATTAAGAATCTTCATAATAACACGTACATTTTCGGTACTTCACAAACAAAATACGCATTTTAACGACACATCACATGCATTAGAATTTAGAGACCGACCACCGAAGCTAAAAAGGCTAAACGCCGGCATGAAACGGGACACCGGTCGCCGGAATCCAAGACTCCCCTTGTATGAACCTGCTCACCGAAAAGGGGCTTGCCTCCTCCGAGCCACGAAGAACGTGAAATCCTGGCCATTTCACCCTTTCATCGGTTCTTGCTCCGGCCCCTTTATATTTAGAGGTGATCAATAACCGAATAATCAAACCGATCTTAATCAAATAATATATAATGGTGATCAAACCGAATTTATATAAAAAAAAATCGATTAATTATGATTTCTCTAGAACCGATAAAAAAAATGAACCGAATAAAAAAAAAGTAATTGAAAACACCGGAAAAAAAATTTCTGCAAAAATGATTAATTATTTTCTGTTTTTAAAATTTTAAAGCCAATCGAATCCAAATAAAAACTATATAACCGAACCTAAATATAATCGAATCGAAATCCGAAATTGTCATCCTACCGGTGTTCATATATTCCCCATAATATAATGTAGAGAGGGCGAAGGCTCCGCTCCATTCGGTCCAACCATTCGGATGAATCAATCCATCGAGATCCGTTTTCATAAACACCGTCCTCGAGTACTTCTTCCACGGCCTCCCCAAGTAGCTTCGGAAACGGGATTTCATCACCTCGAGTTCGGGGGCTGGCCTTACTCGTGATTCTTGTATTGAAATGCCTGTCCATATATATATAACATTGCATGAATGAATGCTTAGATGATTCGTATCTCTCTCAACCTGCTAGCTAACCCTTAAACTGTGAAATATTTGATTTAATAAAAAAAAACCTGTGTTTGTATGTGGATTGTCTCTGCCTTGGGCCGTGATCATGTTGGCCTGGTGGTCCATTGGCCGTCTCACAAATATGTCGCAGTTTTGAAATACCGCAGCCGCGTCTCCGAATATGAAATCAATTGTACCTACCAAAAAATCATTATACATTGCCACTCGTCTGAATATTGACATTAAACATCATATATTATATATATATATATATATATATATATATATAATAGTTCGATTTTCTAATGTACCATAAATGTGGCAGTCACGGTAGAACTGGCGAAGAGAGTGAGTAAAGAGAGTGTCTTGATATCCTTTGAAGCTACATCTGTAGAAAACGGACAGATCCGAACTCACTCTCAATGCCACCGCTTGATGCTTATGCGGTCCTGCTGTGTTCTCGAATGTCATATCCCTCGCCCAAAATCCATCCCCCGACACCCCTATAGTTAGTAGATTCATCATTTCATATCATATATAAAAGAAAAACGGTCCATGTCATGTTTGTGATTGTATGCTATATATGTGTATGTACCAAATGTGGCAGATCCATAAGTTGTTGCGCCGTCGGGGACGTTGCTACTGCCCGTTACAATTGTCCGGTCGATACCGTCGCCTACTAGCATGATGTTCTTCATCTTCCTATCTATATCAATTTTCTCGTTATATACACCGGATTTTATATACAAAAAGATAATCTCAGCTTATCATTAAACATCATATATTATATATATATATATATATATATATATATATAATAGTTCGATTTTCTAATGTACCATAAATGTGGCAGTCACGGTAGAACTGGCGAAGAGAGTGAGTAAAGAGAGTGTCTTGATATCCTTTGAAGCTACATCTGTAGAAAACGGACAGATCCGAACTCACTCTCAATGCCACCGCTTGATGCTTATGCGGTCCTGCTGTGTTCTCGAATGTCATATCCCTCGCCCAAAATCCATCCCCCGACACCCCTATAGTTAGTAGATTCATCATTTCATATCATATATAAAAGAAAAACGGTCCATGTCATGTTTGTGATTGTATGCTATATATGTGTATGTACCAAATGTGGCAGATCCATAAGTTGTTGCGCCGTCGGGGACGTTGCTACTGCCCGTTACAATTGTCCGGTCGATACCGTCGCCTACTAGCATGATGTTCTTCATCTTCCTATCTATATCAATTTTCTCGTTATATACACCGGATTTTATATAGATTATTACTCTACCAGACCGTCGTGGACCCATTCTAGAAACCGCAGTCAAAGCTTCGTTGATTGACCTATGACCACCCGAACCATCCTTAGCCACCACGAAATCGGCCTTAGACCGTGTCGGATTCCATGACACCAGCATTCCTCCGCTCTGGTTCGGCCTCCCTGCCTCATGTGGTCCTACACATTATACAGGATGTTCACAATGAATAAACATCTATGCATCTACATGATATATATATATATACAAATATATAGAAAGAGAGAGATTCATGCATGTGTATATATGTGTGTGTCCTTACTCTTGTTTACATGATTCTTCCTCCCCTTTCGGTACAAAGCAAGAGACTTGCTAACGATCAACGTCACGTTATTATAAACCAAAGCCTTTTGAGCCAAACCCTTTTGTTCTAAACCCTCCAAACAAGTCCTATGGTTCACGAGGACACCGCCCAACCACGTTATCGCATCATCGACAGTAAAATTTTCATGAACATCTATCAAAGTCGACAACCTAATCTCACTCTCTTCATATAGCTTCTCACACTCGATTATCGCCGACCCATTTGAATAAATGTGACCAGTGAAGCCCTCGGTCTCAACCCTCGACCCAACCCACGCCCTCGATTCAGCCACCGCGGCTCGAGCCGTCTCGAGCATCTCGAGCTCTCCGGCAGACACGGCCGTGGCTAAGAGAATAACGGCGACGGCGAAGACGGTGGTTTTAGCATAAGTTAACATTTTGGTTTTAGTAATTTTTATTTAGAGTCTCGAGGGCTAATTTTCTTTTTTATTTTGTTGTGTGGTTTAATTAATAGTGACGAGCCGTAGGATTTCGGGTGAATGAGATGTTGGCGACGAAGTAACGCGTGCAGGGAAATAGAAGGCACGTGGTATACTATGTGTAAGCATTGTTTCCTAAGTTGGCCATGCATATAAGGTTAAATTCAACGTTGGCATGTTCTAGTGGTTGATCGTACGTGCATTTATTAGCTATATTACGTGTGACTTATCAAGCTAATACATGTCTCAGATACTATAACATTTTTTGGGATCTCAAAGGAAGAAGTGATTGTATCAATCGAGTTTATATAGTTGAGGTATCGTTTTCATCCAAATTTATTAATGATTGACAATTATAACAATACATGTTGGAAATATTACGACGGTTTCCGATTATTCTATGAAAAATATATTAAGAATTACAAGAATTATCGTTTTCAAAACAAATTTCTTGAAAAACTTGATCAAGATACCCACGTACTTAAAATTGATTTGTATCCACAATACCAAATACGTACGTACGTACGTATATGTCTTCGTGTCCCATGCAAGATTAAGGCAATGAATGTATAATGCCTTTGTTTGGAGCGAAAAATGCTGACAAAGACAGTGACAAACGTCGTCCACCGGACAACGGCTTCATAGGCCCCGCAAGAAGCTTGAAATAACAGAAACCCACCTAACCCCAATATCCGGATAATGAAGCAGGCGGATCTTTTTCTCGTTAAATCTAACATCAATACATGTGGCATGTCGTACGTCTTCTCACAACGAGTTTGTAACAAGCACAACTTGTTTTCGCCATTTTTAAGCATTTCCCCTCTAAAATTATAGAGAAGTTTAATAACAGAAAGCACGTGTGTGTATATATACAACACACACACACCAACCAATGTTGGAGATTTTGCTAGCCTTACTTGCATGTATATGTCCTAGCTATTCGGTCCATTGATTTTTTTTTAATAAGGTAGAAATCTGTTTCCACAGCCTTTTAGGTCGGGCACCGTTCGGCTCTATGGTCCAAACGATATTTTGGACAGTAAACTCCGATTCTGCGTAATAGCTCGCAAAGTGCGCAAGCAAATAAATCTGCCGAAACGGACCAGTTCAAGAACAATATCAGAATTTATGATGAAGTGGTTTTAGCAGAGAAAATGTCGATGCTCTGTTTCTGGAGAGAAGAATAGAAAGCCAGAAGAATGAATTTGAATTTTCTGTATATTCCCTAAAGAATAGTCTGTACATCCTTTTATATACAAAGAGGAAAAAGAAACTGTGTAACAGAAAGGAGAGAGAGTGAGAAAGATGCGAGAGAGAATGCAAAACCGAAAAACAAACTTTCAAAATTAATTTAATTCCCTCGCATTCCAGCTCGGATATAGAACTGTAATACCCCCTCCTCAAGACGGAGACGGAAGGAACAGACTTGAAAGATTCATCCGAGAGAGTAGGTTCGCAAATAAGGCAGGCTGCAAAGCCTTAGTGAAAATATCAGCAAGCTGGTTTTCAGCAGAAACGTGCATCAACAGGAGGAAACCAGCCTTGAGTTTGTCGCGAACGAGATGACAATCAATCTCGATATGCTTAGTCCGTTCGTGAAAAACAGGGTTCGTCGCAATGTGTATCGCAGATTGATTATCGCAAAATAGTTTGGCAGGCCCTGTCACGGAGATATGAAAATCCTGGAGAAGATTATGCAATCAGACCAACTCACAGGTGGCATTGGCCAAGGAACGGTACTCCGCCTCTGTACTGCTGCGAGAAACGGTTGTCTGTTTCTTGGCTTTCCACGAGATCAAGGAGTCACCAAGAAACACACAGAAACCCGAAGTAGAACGACGAGAATCCAGACAAGAAGCCCAGTCGGCGTCAGCAAAAGCATTGAGGCACAAGGAGGACTCGACAGAATAAAAAACGCCTTGCCCAGGATTGTTTTTCAGATATCGAACAACACGTTGTGCAGCTGTGAGATGAACCGAGGTAGGTTTGGACAGAAACTGACTGAGCTTATGAACAGCATAAGCAATGTCCGGTCTAGTGATAGTCAAGTACAGCAAACGACCGATGAGACGTCTGTACCCAGTGATGTCGGACAGGGGCTCGCCTGAATCCTTTGACAAGCGGATTCCTGGATCAAGAGGAGCAAACACAGGTTTGCAAGCTAAAAAACCAGAATCAGCAATTAAATCAAGGCAGTATTTACGCTGATTAATTGAGATCCCAATTTTGGAGCGAGCTATTTCCAATCCCAAGAAGTATTTAAGCTCCCCAAGGTCCTTGATATTGAACCTCTGCCTCAGCAGCAATTTCAGGTTCTGAAGAGCGGAATCATCATTGCTCGCAATAACAATATCGTCCACATAAACCAAAAGCGCAACAAAAGAGCTGCCAGACTTCTTAACAAACAGAGTATGATCAGAAGGAGATTGAACAAACCCAGCAGCAAGCAATACATTGGCGAATGTAAAGTACCATTGCCGAGATGCTTGTCGTAGCCCGTACAAAGACTTTTGCAGTCAACAAACTGGATTGGAAGGTAATGTATCTCCTGTCCGTGGCGTAAAACCAGGAGGCAATGTCATGTAAATTTCCTCGTCAAGCTCACCGTGAAGAAAAGCATTGGTGACGTCCATTTGAGTTAAGGTCCAATGTTGTGTAGCTGCCAAAGCAAGAAGTAATTTCACGGTAACGAGCTTAGCCACAGGAGAAAAAGTATCCAAAAAATCAACCCCCTCCTGCTGCGTATATCCCTTAGCAACCAAACGTGCCTTGAATCTGTCAACCGAACCATCAGAATTCCGCTTTATTTTGTAAACCCACTTACAGCCAACCGCCTTTTTCCCGGGAGGAAGAGAGACCACCGACCAAGTGCCATTTCCGTCAAGAGCTGCGAGTTCAGTGTTCATGGCCTCCCTCCATTCAACAGAAGAGACAACTTCTTTAAAAGACTTGGGTTCCGAAGTGATAGCGGTGTTAAGAATGAAGGCTCGGTAATGAGGAGAAAGACGATGATAGGATAAAACAGAAGATAAAGGATATAAAGGAGAAGAAGACGAGGGCATAAGATAGCAGTGATAATCTTTAAGGTAAGAGGGAGGATTAGTTTTTCGATGAGGGCGAGAGATAGGAGCAATAGAATCTGTAGAAGGTTCAGCAAAATCTGTAGGGGAAAGCAAAGAAGAACCCGAAACAGGGGAAGGCAAAGAAGAAGTAGAAGGCGGAAAACAAGAGGAAGGGACAGGAGCTAAAGACGAGGATGAAATATCTCGAGCAGGTATGGGTAAAGGTAAAATAGATTCTGAGAAAATAGATGAAGAAAAAGAAGTGGTATCACTGCCAAGAGCAAAGGGAAAAATATCCTCATGAAAAATAACGTGTCGGGATATAAAAATGGAATTGGTATCCAAGTCAAGAAGTTTATACCCTTTGTATCCTGGAGGATAACCCAAGAACACAGTCGCTCGAGCCCGAGAAGAAAACTTATGCCTGGCTGTGGAAGAAGTGGAAGCATATGCCAAGCAACCGAAAGCCCGCAATCGGTGGTACTCAGGAACGAAGCCTTGCAGCACCTCAAAGGGAGATTTTCCTGACAAAACAGGGGAAGGAGTCCTGTTAATCAAAAATACAGCCGTGCGAACACATTCGGACCAGAAAGACAGAGGCAACTGCGCTTGAAAAAGCAGAGCTCTGGCAACATTGAGCAAATGTTGATGCTTCCTTTCGACAACATAATTTTGCTCGGTAGTTTGAACACACGAGAAGTAGTGAACAATTCCTTTGGATCTGAAGTAATCAGAGAATTTCAACTCATTCGCATTATCAGAACGGACAGCTTTAACAACTTTGCCAAACTGCGTCTCAACCATGGTCACAAACTCAGGGATAAGCCGAAGAACATCACTCTTAGATTTCAACATATAGATCCAAGTTACCCTAGAATGATCATCAACAATGGTCAAGAAATAACTGAAACCATCATAGGAAATAGTCGAGAAAGGACCCCAAATATCAATATGGATAAGATCAAAAGAACAAGGAGAAAGTCGATTATGGGAAACAAAAGGTAAACGGCGTTGTTTAGCCAAATGGCAAACCCGACAGTGGGTAACGTCCGAAAAATTCTTAATAGAAAGAATAGAAGAAAAAGATTTGAGTTTCTGAAATGAAGGATGCCCAAGCCTGTTGTGCCAAAGTGCGGAATCAGCATGAAAAGCTTGAACCGGAAAGGAAGAGGACGAGTGTGGAGTGTCGGACTCGAGAAAGTAGAGGCTGTGCATAAGCTTAGCCTTCCCAATCGTCGAGCCCTGAGTAGGCTCCTGAATGAGACAAACATCAGAAGAAAAAAAGACAAGAAGATTAGAATGATGAATTAAGGCACTAACACTCACGATATTGAAAGAAAAACTGGGAATGTAAAAGACATTGTGTAGAACCAGATGATCATTAAGGAAAACAGAACCAATATGATGAACCAGCAAGTGATGTCCATTAGGCAAAGTCACAGATCGAGGAGAGATCTGAGTAAAATCATGAAAAAGACTTTTGTCGTAGCAGACATGAGCAGAGGCTCCAGAGTCAATGATCCATGAAGAGCAAACAGAACCAGAAATCCCACCAGATATAGAGGAGCAGATAAGCGATGAAACAACAAGAGATGTACCAGATGATGCAGAGACATCCAGGGCTCCTGATTCAGTAATCGAGGGACCATACGTCTTGAGCTGCGAGCTGATTTTAGAACACAATTCCTGTAGCTGAGCAATGGAAAAGCTACCCAACTCGGGAACAACAGGAGAAGGTTTAATACTATTCTCTGTGACCAAATTAGCATAAGGTCCAGGCATCGGAGAAACAATACGACTGAAACTCTTAGAGGCAGAAGAAGACTTAGCCTGCGAAGAAGGCTTGTAACCCGGGGGATAACCGTGAAGTTTATAACACTTCTGAACGGTGTGCCCGTATAATCCACAGTGAGTGCATAGGGGATGTTGTCGAGGTTTGAAAGAATTACCAGAAACGGCAGCCACCTTCGCATCAGGAGGAGAAACAGAAGACTGAAAAACAACCGCCTCCGATGGAATGGAAGATTTCACCAATCGTTGTTGTTCTTGTTGGATTACGAGATTATAAACACGCTGAATATCAGGCATAGGATCCATCATGGTAATCTGATTCCTCACACTTTCATACTCATTATTCAAGCCATAAAGGAAATCGATAACAAAATCACTCTCAAACTCATCAATCCAACGTTTATCAACTTGACAAGTGCATTTCCCACAAGTACAGCGATGATTAATGCGGACGGTCTTCAGTTCTTCCCAAATTGTTGAAAGAGCAGTATAATATTTGGCAATATCGAGAGTACCTTGTCGCAGACTACGAAGGCGTTGTCGGACCCGATACTTACGAGGAGCATTCGATTGTTGAAATCGATGAGCAAGATCTAACCACATCTCACGAGCAGTGGGATAAAACATCAAATTCTGAGAGATGTCTTCATCCACAGAATTGATGAGCCAGGACCCAACAATGGCGTTGTTGCGATTCCAAAATCGGAGAGTAGGATCATCATCGGCAGGGCGGGGTAACGATCCATCAATGAAACAGAGCTTGTTTCGTCCTTCGAGAGCCATGGAAACAGCTCGAAACCAGGAGCTGTAATCACCGGCACCGGTGAGGCGCTTTGTGACAAGCTGAATACCAGCATGATCGCCAGAACTCAGGAAATAAGGATTGTCAAAGCAATCAAAGGAGGACACGGCCGGAGCAGAGGCCGGAGAAGTAGAGGACACCGGAGGAGAAGAATCTTCAGCCGAGAATAACGGGATTGTGGGAGTTGTCATAACGCCGAGAAAAAATAGCAAAAACACTCAAAAAAGAGAAGAAAAGGAAAACGGGATCTTAGCACAGAGGCTCTGATACCATTTTAGCAGAGAAAGTGTCGATGCTCTGTTTCTGGAGAGAAGAATAGAAAGCCAGAAGAATGAATTTGAATTTTCTGTATATTCCCCAAAGAATAGTCTGTACATCCTTTTATATACAAAGAGGAAAAAGAAACTGTGTAACAGAAAGGAGAGAGAGTGAGAAAGATGCGAGAGAGAATGCAAAACCGTAAAACAAACTTTCAAAATTAATTTAATTCCCTCGCATTCCAGCTCAGATATAGAACTCTAATAAGTGGGCTTATCATTTTTTCAATTGAAGTGGAGACTTTCTCCCGTCCATTGATTATTTATCTTTTCATGTTCACAAAATTTATTTAGATTAAAAGTGTATAAAGGATAAGAACTAAGAAGCAGTCCTGTAAATATAAAAAATAAAATATATATAATGCAAAATTTGATAAGATAATAACTAAATACACGAAATCTTTCAATTTAATACAAAAAAGAGATCCGATACGGAAAGAAACGTTGGCTTGTCTTAGTCATGGGAACAGGGAAAAAAAGTTTGTCAACATGGAGCTACTTTCTATCCCTTTTTATAGTACATCTTATGCTCTCTTTTTTTCCCTTTTTTAGCGTGTTTTATATATCATCATATAAAACACACACACACACACATATATATATATATATAAACAAATATACAGAAAAAAAAAACCAAAATATATGTTTCTTCTATGCCCAATATATTTTATTCATATTCGTTTGAATCCCATTTTATAATTTTTAATTTGAAGTACAAATTAAGTTTGCTAGCTTTGATATTGTGAGCCAGAAAAACAGATTATTAATTCAATTTCATAAACTTACGTAAACTCTAAATTTCTTCGTAAACGTTGGTCCTCATCTCCACTATTTTGTCTTTGAACATCGATATTCCGACAAGCAGACATATTGTTTAGAGGTCATATCAGTTCGTTGCAAAAAAAAAAAATAATAATAATAATAATAATAATAAAAAGCTGAAAAAGAAAAAGAAAAGGAAAAAGAGACGAAGAGGCTATCGGTGGATCTACCGGGATTGAGACCGTCCACGGTTTCTGATTTTCAAGCGTTACGAAGTCCGTCCACGTACGGTCACGGTAACGTGTTTTGAATGATGATCCAATCCCCCGTTTGTCTAAATCATTCGCCTGAATTTTTTATTCGTCGGTTTGAAAAATAATATTCCCCGATTGCGAACCTAAAAATTATATAAAATATCTACGTTTGTTTCTAAAAATGATAGACCGGACATATGATTAGGATGGATCCACCGGAATATCAAATATTTTTACTAAAATTAATTATATAAAAAAATCCTTATTATAGCTGTTGCGAAACCAATTTGGATTATGATTGTAACCACCATTGAATTTGATCCGACGTGGATTTAATTTAAAGACCATGCATGTGGAAGATTAAACTGATAGTCTTTCCATTAATCCATACTTTCGTTGTCTTTATTTCCAATAGCGACTCGTATCATTTTCTACTGTTTTCATCCCTCCCTCCCACGCGAATTAACAAGCGAATATCGTTTTCGAGTAAATAGTATGGATCACGAGAGTTATTTAAACCATCAATCATTCGTCAATTTGTTGGACCTCCGTCACTTTCGAATTCTATGATTTATTTATCATTGAAATAATTCGTTTACAATATTCTAATAATATGGTTATAGATTACAACTATATAACAGGCAAGTGGACGGCTTAATTAAGCTGTATCAATAATTAAATGTGAGGAATGAAAACGTAAGAAGGATAACAAACGGATAATTTGTTGGCTAGAGGCTGAAAACGAAATTAACATTATTTAATCAGCAAAAGGATAAACACAAAAGCATCACATACGAACAATTAATTTCAACCCTTGATAGAATCGTTTTATCTTTTAAATTTAAGATATTAGAGTGTATAAGAATAGGGGTGAATAAAAATATGATTTTCTTTCTTTAAATTAAATTAATCAAAGTTTTAACTAAATTCTGAATTTATTATGGGAATAAAAACAAATTAAAATATAAATAATTATCAGTTTAGAAAATGAATGCTTCTTCTGATGAAAACTCAAATTCGAACCAAGAACGCGAATTGAATCCAAAGCGAGCCAAATAGAAAAAAATTCTGAATTCAAAAATAAAATAAAATAAGCAAAAAACCTTAATTCAGACGAAAACCTTAAATATCTATGTAAAGCCCTGACATGTCGTTGCTAATGACACCGTCATTGATGATTATTGTTCGTACAAAAGTCTTTTTGTGGTTCATCAACCTATTCATTTGTCATAAGAAAATCGTATTGGTTGACAATCATTGCAGAAACAAAAAAAAAAACTATCTATTAAATATTTCTGAAAAATTGTTAATAATCGGATCCAATAATTTGCATGCAGAAAGATTATGCCCGCGACCACATATCCTTGTGAGCCTTCTATGCATATTAAGGTCGGTCCAAATGTGGCGGCCGGTTAATATATTTTTTTGTAATAAAAAACTATCATTTATTTATGTATCATTGCAGGTTTCTATTGACAGCACATACACAGATACAAGTTACAACATGCAAATTCAAAAACTCATCGCCGTTTTGTCAGATAGAGGCGTATATATTGTATTTATATATATATATATGGTATTAAAAAAAATAGATGCGACTCTAATTATTCTTCACCTACTTAATGATTATAACTTAGATGGATAAGATTAATTAAGATATCACCATGGCATGAATCTTATTCAAATACACCGTTGAATATTTCATTTGTTATCGATTCCAAGTCGTCATACGTCATTCCACCTCGTCAACAGTGAAAAATCTCGTATAACCATAGAATGAAATGTCCTGACTTTGACGATATAAAGAGTTTGACTTTTTTATTCCATTCTTCGAAGTGAAATCACTTATCATCAAAACCGTAATTCATCTAAATTTGTATAATATATGCTTCCTCGATAGTTTTATTTTCAACGTATTGGTGCCATGCCTAGCCCAGTGAATTATGGACATTCAACGATGGCGCTGATGTTTAAATTAATATATAGACTATTAGTAGTGTGTATATATATGTATATATATGCAATTTGTGTAGAAAAAAACTAATGATAAATAATAAAAAAAATTAAATGGTTTTCTCCTAACACGTAAGGTACTCGAGGTTGTCATGTCTGAGGCACGACTTTAATTTTAAATTAAATCAATCAAAATGAAATCATTGTAAACGCGTCGGACAATAATGATATATATCTCTCTCTTACAAATTATATTATGCAGTCATTAATTACAAGCCTAAGATCCTTGCATATAACGAGCTTAGACATTTAATTAGAATGCATATGGATCATGTTACAATTTATACGAGTTACAGGAACAAATAATACAATTTGCATATGTAAATGCATATATTAGCTGACGTGTCCATATATATACGCGTGCGTGTTTATATTTTTGCTTAATAAAAAAAATTATAGCCCCGAAAGACACATAATTAATTGTCGTAGATTCGGACCAAACATAAACAAGATCTATAGCCGGAGATTCTTTCTCCAGTTTTCGCAAGTCATTACTTAATTTGGGCCAACAATCTCTAGCACACAAAATTTATAAGCATATAAGCTAACAAGTAACAACCTTGTTATTATGTATTTGAAATATAAATTTACTTGTTACAAAAAAATAATATTTTAATCAGTACAAAGAAAAACCACTCGTTAATTGTATGAACATTTATTTTTCTTTTGTTTTAACCTTTTGTAGGAAATAAATTTATTTGGTTTAATTTTCTGTGATAATTAATAAATGTATACGTACCACACGGCGGACATTGACCGTTTGAATTTCAACGTAAATGTTAACTATAGAGAATAAATGACGGCGGCATGATGTCTTTAACAATCAAGGGGTAGGTACATATTATTCTCCAACTAGTATAAAATTTAAAATTGACTACTCTAATAATTAATTAAATTAATTAATTACGAGCAAATTACGCACCTCCTATATTCCCCGGTGTGTTAAACCCGTTGGTGGGAAACGACCCCACGTCGGTCTCCTCATGCACCTATATAAACAGGTTGATCCAAGACATGATGAAACCCACACAAACGCATTTAAATATTTCTCATTATTTTCAAATCCTTTTAGCCAAAAATGGCTCTTCGAGCTTACGTTACCATATTCTTCTTTTGTATTTTCCTTGGACCGACCGTGTTCGGGTACGACCAAAAAGACGTGAAATCGTGGTGCAGCAAAACTCCGAACCCGAAACCATGCGAGTATTTCCTGACCCACAACCCGAACCATCGACCCATCAAATCCGAATCCGAGTTCCTAAAAATCTCCATGAAGCTGGCTCTGGACCGAGCTTTGCTGGCCAAGAGCCATGCATTCACGTTGGGACCAAAGTGCCGAGACTCGCGTGAAAAGGCTGCATGGGAAGATTGTCTTAAGCTCTACGATTACACGGTCTCCAAACTCAACGAAACCGTCGACCCTTACGTGAAATGTTCCAAAGTCGACGCACAGACATGGCTCAGTTCCGCCCTGACCAATCTCGAGACATGTCGGACCGGTTTTATCGAACTCGGAGTGCCGGATTTTCTCTTACCCCTGATGTCTAACAATGTTTCCAAGCTTATAAGCAACACGCTCGCCATTAACAAAGTGCCCTTTAACTACACACCGTCACAAGAAAACGGGTTTCCCGAGTGGGTCCGACCCGGCGACCGGAAGCTTCTGCAGAGCTCGACGCCTCAAGCCAACGTCGTGGTGGCGAAAGACGGGTCGGGTAATTTCAGGACGATAAAAGAAGCGGTCAACGCTGCTTCGAGGCGGTCCGGAAGCGGTAGGTTCGTGATATACGTGAAACAAGGCGTGTATAACGAGAACATAGAGATAAGGGCGAAGAATATCATGTTGAGAGGTGATGGAATTGGGAAGACGATCATCACCGGAAGCAAAAGTGTTGGAGGTGGATCTACCACGTTCAATTCCGCCACTGTTGGTACGTATATTTTATGGTTACACAAAAAGATAATCTCAGCTTATTATATATAATATAATCTATTTGCGTTGATTAGATAAGGTTACATCACTTAATAGTGTTTAATTAGACGCACCATTTATCTTGATTTTTAACCTACCTTACCTATTATAAACGTTATTTAATTTCCATGAAATTAAATTTAAAAAAAAAAAACAAAGGAATAGTGCTACATGTACACGCCCTCGTGTTTTACCGATTCAAAGTTCAAGGCCTCGTGTCTATACGTACCGTAGACAGCAAATTGACACCGACTAATGTTATATATTAAGGTCAAATGTTTCACAAAATTGAAGAGCTCTAAGCTTAGTATTCCACCAAGCACACGAAAATTTTTTCATCCACTAAAATTTATTTCCGTGCAATTTTGGGGACTTTACTCTATGTTTGTATAATATATAGTATTGATTCTGTCAGCCGAATGGACCGCCAGCCTCTCTCTGTTGGCCCACGTAGAATTTATATTAAATTTGGAAATGTCAAATAAAAGACCTGCGCACGCAACGTTGGTAGTCGTTTATCGGGTCATAGCATCAGAATTGTATACACAGTTTCACGAAATATAGTCGTGATTAATTATGCTATCGCACATTTAATATAATACTAACTAATAATGATTTTAGACAAATCGACCGACGAAACATAATCTTGTAACATTATTGTCCTAAGTGTAGTCGTCATTGACATTTGATTTATTCTTACTTGTGTGTTTTTTTTTTCTTTCTGAAATCTCAGCTGTGGTCGGAGACGGGTTCATAGCGCGTGGAATCACGTTCCGTAACACCGCGGGTCCAAACAACGGTCAAGCCGTGGCTCTAAGATCCGGGTCGGATCTGTCCGTATTTTATCAATGCAGCTTCGAAGGTTACCAAGACACGCTCTACGTCCACTCCAACCGTCAGTTTTATCGCGAGTGCAATATTTACGGAACGGTAGATTTTATATTCGGAAACGCGGCCGCGGTCTTCCAGAACTGCAACATTTTCGCACGCCGTCCGCAAAACAAGACCAACACCGTCACGGCCCAGGGAAGATCCGACCCGAACCAGAACACAGGGATCGTCATCCATAATTCCCGGATCACGGCCGGGTCGGATCTCCGACCCGTTTTGGGATCCGTCAAGACGTATCTGGGCCGGCCGTGGAGGCAGTACTCGAGGACCGTGGTCATGAAAACGTTTCTTGATGGCTTGATCGATCCACGTGGATGGCTTGAGTGGAATGGGAATTTCGCGTTGAGGACGTTGTTCTACGCTGAGTATCAGAATACGGGTCCGAGTTCTTCGACCGGGGGACGGGTCACGTGGCCCGGATTCCGGGTCTTGAGGACCGCATCGGAGGCGTCAAGGTTCACTGTCGGAAATTTCATTGCCGGAAACTCATGGATTCCGGCCACGAATGTGCCTTTCACCTCTGGTCTCTGATTGATTAGATACCGTGGAATCTGTATGTCTACGCAATTAGTTTGGGGAATAAATAAAAGGCCGAATCTAGTGATTGTTTGTAGTAATTGTATTTTTATTTTCAAAAAGATTGTTATATTTGTATACATTGGGTTAATAAATGATTAATTTCTCTGATAGTGTTTTATATATATATATGAAGGGAGCGAAATGGGCCTTGATGAGCCGGTCCAAAAGATTTGTTTGGGCCTATGAAAATGAATATTGATCCAAAGGGACAAAGTTCGAAAACATCTTAAATGGAACGTGTCCCCCGATTTGTAATAAACAAATGAAATATAATATGTTTCAAGAATTTATTTGATTAATTATTTATCATTGGTGCGGAGGAAAGTGGGAGATGTGAATCGATAATGATTTTTTGCGACAAACAAATCGATAATATATAAAATTAATTAAACATACACTCCCCAACTTTATCTACCTACAAATATATAAAATTCCAAAAAAAAAAAATCGGATGGAGAAAAGGGAGATTATCATAATATTGCAGATTATAATAGAAAAATAGTTAGTAATTAATAATGGTTTAGTGAAGAGCAGACATACGCATGGATTTCCTTCAAAGTAGTAGGAGAATATCAACAACTCTAAACCCAATTAATACTCCAACAGCGATTCAAATTTCATCCTTCTCGTCAAACACCAAAAAATATTAAAGAAATTTTCATAAATGTGCCAAAATAGAGATCGTTAAATAGTATTTTTTTTTTCCATTTTGAAAACTATAACCTTTAATTACGAATACTCTAAAATATATCTAAGTTTATTGTATAATATTGACAATATGCTAATTCTTTTTCAAAAATTGTATATTTTTCTCTTATATTTTAAAATTTTCAGAAAACTAAACGATACGAGAATTTACAAAACTTTATTTTTGGTAGAGTTCTAAAGACCGGACAACTGTACATTTTTCGTACAATTTCTAAACACTTCATACATGTTTCAAGATATATATTTATTAATTAAAAATATATAGTTAATCTCTTCGTACAATTTTGTAACATTTTTCGTACAATTTTGTTATTGTGAAGTGCTGGTATTGGAGTTTAACATATAATACTAATTAAGTTGTCAAAATCATTATGTGTTTAGTATATATATATTGCAGTGAGACTATATATATGGTTTACAACATTGACATTTTGGTAAACCTTTTAAACTAACCATTTTAACAAAAATTAAATGGACAACTATTGGTATACTAACATATGCAATTATAAAAATAATTAAAATATATAATATTTGATCCTATATTATAAATATGGAATGTATAAGGGTTTGATTACACAAATAAAAAAATGTTTCTCCTTCATTACATTTTATTTTTTTGTCTTCAATGGAAGACATTAATCACACCAATGATGTTCATACCCATGCTATTAAATATTGTAATTATTAGTATAGGGGTAACAAGTTTGCATAGTGTTAATTTCTTTTAAATGTTTATGGTAAACTAATTATTATTTTTCCATCAACAATGTAATTGTGCTATCAATTAGGAGATAAAATTAATAAAATAGCTCAACAATTATAAAGGAGACTAGGATAATACAAACTTGCGCATGTCATGATGCTCGTTTTATATAAAATTTACACAATTATAAATATAAATGTATCCTTGGATTATACATACACAAATGAAAAATATGGCTCATGTGATAATCTTAGCTATGATTGTGTTCTTCAACCATATGCATGGCCAACACTCCACACGTGAATTTAACGAGTAAGTTATCACCGCACCCACTCCACGACCAAGCACAAGTCTCTAAGATAAAATTTATAAAAAAAAAATTTGAACAATGTTTAGACTTTTCGTACCGTTTATAAACATTTCAAATATTTCATAAATATGAAAATATTAACATATAATAATTTATTTAAAATAACAATTTTATTTATACGACATATATCTCACAATCAACGATAAAAAATTATCTACATAGATTATTTTTAAAGAAAAAATATCAAAACAAAATATCTAAAGTCATTCTATACATACATGCACTATTAATTTGAGATTGAATGAATATAATAACAAATGGTTGACAACATTTAGATTTCGTTAATAGTATCACATTCAATAAAATTTACAAAACAAATTTCGAACAATCTGTACACTTTTTGTACAATTTCTAGACACTTCAAACATTTTATACATATTTTAAGATATATTTATTAATTAAAAATATATGGTTAACCTCTTTAATTTTGTTATTATGGAGTGTAGCTATTGTATTTTAACATATAATATTAAATAAGTTATCACAATCATTATGTGTCTAGTAATATATATAAAAATCTCGGCGTACAAACCACCTCCAAAATAATACTTTGTATCGGCATGTTTATCTATATTACTATACACATAATAATTGTGATAACTTAATTAATAGTATATGTTAAAATACAATAGCGGCATTCCATAATAACAAAATTAAAGAGATTAACCATATATTTTTAATTAATAAATATATTTTAAAATATGTATAAAATGTTTGAAGTGTTTAGAAATTGCACAAAAAGTGTACCGATTGTTCGAAATTTGATTTGTAAATTTTATTGAGTGTGATACTATTAACGAAATCTAAATTTTGTCAACCATTTGTTATTATACTCATTCAATCTCAAATTAATGGTGCATGTATGTATAGAATGACTTTAAATATCTGGTTTTATTTTAAAATTATTTTTTCTTAATTAATTAATTTATCAATATTAAAATTTAATCACAACATTTTCCAAACGACCCAAAACCAACATTCCACCCACAAAACACAAATATCCGAGAGGTGGAATGCCCTCCACTCCACCAACCACCACTTTCACTGGATCACGTCCACCAACCAGCACTTTCACGTGAGGTCCACCAGCTGACACACTAACCGGAGGCCCTCCAGCTGACACATTCACCGGAGGAATGCCCACTTTAGGGACCCCCATCCCAGGAAGCATCAATCCATATGCATCCAACGACACGTCCAAAATTATATATATCGTATTTTTGTTTCTTATATGTATTATTCTCATTTTACTTTATATGATATATTATGTTATCTCTAAATTAATGAGAACCAATTAATGTATTTATATTTCTCTTGTTATTATCAATGATAAAGCTTTTATTGTTAATTATGAATAAAAGTTTATTTTAATGTCTTGTTAGTATTTCTGTCATTTTTTTACTATCACTTGTATTAAAAAAAATATTGTTATCGTTAATAATAACATTATATTAAACATCCCTTACAACTTTTAACTCTATTATATATTCCTTCATCATTATATTAATTTTTCATTCCGTACCTCTTTTCATATTTAAGCATATTTCTCTAAATTTACAGAGAAATTAAAAAAAAACCGATATAAATAGAAATTAGTAAAATAGCTCAACAATTATAAAGGAGACCAGGATAATACAAACTTGCGTGTGTCGCGATGCTCGTTTTATATAAAATTTACACAATTATAAATATGAGTGTATCATTGGATTACATACACAAATGAAAAATATGGCTAGCTCATGTGATGATCTTAGCTATGATTGTGTTCTCTTCAACCATATGCATGGCCAACACTCCACACGTGGATTTAAAGAGTAAGTTACTAACTTTGTTTTTTTTATTTTTATTTGTTACGTTATTTTTTCATAAGAAATTATTTAATTAATATTTCAATACTTTGATTTAATCATAGGTTTGCCAAACAACCCAAAGTCACCGCACCTACTCCACCGACCAAGTGTAAGTCTCCAAGAGGGGAATACATACTCTCGGGAGTCCCATCCCAGGGCATATCAATCCTTATGCATCAAATGATCACATATTGTCAAAAATAATATATATGATATCTTGTGTTTCTTTTGTTTCTTGTTCTTATATTATACTCTATCATCTCTAAAATAACGAGAACAAATTAATGTATTTTTATTTCTCTTGTTAGGGTATATCCACCTTTATGTTGTTTTAGTTTTTATAAGATTTCGTTAAAAAATTCAAACTCGATAAAATTTATAAAACAATTTTTGAACAATGTCAAACATTTCATAAATATTGAAAATATTAACGTATAATAATTTTATTTATACGAAATATATCTCACAATCATCGGTAATAATTATCTAAATGGATTATTTTAAAAAAACACAATATCAAAACCAGTTATCTAAAGTCATTCTATACATATATGCACCGTTAATTTGAGATTGAATGAGTACAATAACAAATGGTTGACAACATTTAGATTTCATTAATACTATCACACTTAATAAAATTTACAATACAAATTTTGAACAATCTGTACATTTTTCGTACAATTTTTAAACACTTCAAACATTTTATACATGTTTTAAGATATATATTTATTAATTAAAGTTATATGATTAATCTCTTGAATTTTGTTATTATGGAGTGCTACTATTGTATTTTAAAATATAATACTAATTAAGTTGTCAAAATCATTATGTGTTTAGTATATATATATTGCAGTGAGACTATATATATGGTTTACAACATTGACATTTTGGTAAACCTTTTAAACTAACCATTTTAACAAAAATTAAATGGGCAACTATTTGTACACTAACATATGCAATTATAAAAATAATTAAAATATATAATATTTGATCCTATATTATAAATATGAAATGTATCAAGGGTTTGATTACACAAATAAAAAATGTTTCTCCTTCATTACATTATTCCAAAATTGTACGAAAACTGTACAAACTATTCAAAAATTGTTTTATAAATTTTATTGAGTGTGATTCTTTTAACGAAATCGTAGAAAATATATGTGTACGTTCTCGAATTCATGCTTTGATATTCTTCGCTAATCCATTGTTAATTACTCATTAAATTTCTTAATCAGTATTTAATTGTAATAAACATGTCTCTAATAGTTTAGTTTAAATCCATAAAACGCATACGCATATGGAATAAACCCATTTAATAGAAACCTAAATATTAAATCCAAAACCATTTTATTATTGGGTTGGATTGAACATTTGATAACTCTACACTAAAATAATATAGTCCTAAAATAATACTCTGTGTTGGCATGTTTATATATATTACTAGACACATAATGATTGTGATAACTTAATTAATATTATATGTTAAAATACAATAGCAGCACTCTATAATAACAAAATTAAAGAGATTAACCATATATTATTATAAATATATCTTAAAATATATATAAAATGTTTGAAGTGTTTTGAAACTGTACAAAAAGTGTACAGATTGTTCGAAATTTGTTTTGTAAATTCTATTGAGTGTGATACTATTAACGAAATCTAAATATTGTCAACCATTTGTTATTGTACTCATTCAATCTCAAATTAATGGTGCATGTATGTATAGAATGACTTTAAATATCTGGTTTTATTTTACGATTATTTTTTATTAATTAATTAATTTATCAATATTTAAATATAATCATAGTAACTTCAAACCGACCCAAAATCAACGTTCCACCAACCAAACACAAATATCCGAGAGGTGGAATGCCCCCCACTCCACCAACCACCACTTTCACTGGATCACCACGTCCACCAAGGAGCACCTTCACGGGAGGTCCACCGGCTGACACACTCACCGGAGGTCTTCCAGCTGACGCATTCACAGGAGGAATGCCCACTCTAGGGACCCCATCCCAGGAAGCATCATCAATCCATATACCTCCAATGACACATCCAAAATTATATATATAGTATTTTTGTTTCTTATGTGTATTGTTCTCATTTTACTTTACATGATATATTCTGTTATATCTAAATTAATGAGAACCAATTAATGTATTTATATTTCTCTTGTTATTATCAATGATAAAGCTTATGAATAAAAGTTTATTTTAATATCTTGTTAGTATTTCTGTCATTTTTTTTACTATCACTTGTATTAAAAAAAATGTTGTTATCGTTAATAATAACATTATATTAAATATCCCTTACAACTTGTTAACTCTAAAGCACATTTCAAAAAAAAAAAAAAAAAAAAAAAAACCTTGTTAACTCTATTATACATTCTTCCATCATTATATTAATTTGTCATTCCGTAGCTCTTTTCATATTTAAGCATATTTCTCTAAATTTACAGAGAAATTTTTTAAAAAAATGATATAAATAGACATTCTTTATCATGCCCAAAAAAAAAAGACATTCTTTATCAAATACCGTTCCTCCTGGTTGATGGATGGGCCTCTGATATAATGGCGCATATGGGCCTGCGCGATGGGCTTCAAGGCCCATGGGCTTTAGTACTAGAAATCTGATCATATCGTCCAGCTACTTTTATATAAAGATAATAGTTGTCCTTGCATCAATTCACCAAAATTTAGAAAATGGCCAAATAAACCCAAATCACAAATGTCGTGCTCAATGACTTGGTAGTTCCACGCAAGGTCCAGGAGAATGGGCTGAAGAAAGCCCATTTAACTATCCACGCTAAGCCCAATGATAATGGACGGCCCAGATTCAACTCCGAGGAATCCTATAAAAAGGAAACGATAATATATACATATATAATCCAACCCAAAGTTCAAAACACTGTCTTTTAGCTGAAATAGTTTGAGAATGACGTAAACCATCGTTTTATTATTATTATTATTATTATTATTATTATTATTATTATTATTATTATTATTATTATTATTATTATTATTATTATTATTATTATTATTATATATATAATACTAAATTTGTTTTCTTTATGTGTTTCTCTTTGACGATGGAGTACATATGGTTGGAAAAAAACTGAGATCTGGAGGAATATTTTGTTTGCATCTTTTTATTTATTTACACAACGTATTTTTTATATGACTCACTCATGCTTTTTTTCCAAAAAAAAAAGATAATTAAAAATTTTATGTACAATTGCCTCAATTTCCTAAACTAAGACATCATTTAAATGGTTCTACCAGGAAAAACAAATCATTTAAAAGGAATCTAAAGTAAAGAATGATTAAATACTATTAAAGTACATAGTATTGAATTTTTTTAATTATAAATATAGAGTCCCCGTAGCAAAGATTTCATTAGTTACGATAATATTGCTAAGCATTTATAATATATTATGATAAAGATTTATTATGATACATGTGATTTGCTTTAATATCTCCATTACAAAATTCGAAGCAATGTTAGGACTCTCAAGGACCAATAATCTTTTTTTGTTTCGGTAAGGATTTGTGTTCAGACCCATACAGATGGAGTTAGTTTTACGGACAATGAGAGCCCAGGTGGGGATATTCGTGAGCTGCACTGCGCCGCTTATGTAGGCCCAATAATCCACGTCACAAAATACTTATTAAAATTTTTAATGAGTAATTAATAATGGAATTACTCCAACGATTCTTAAATTTTGAACAAAATAAGCAGAATTATAGGCAGATGTTATTTCAAAAATTATTTGATTAAATTTATATATAAAAAAACAGCTATTTCTCCAACAATAATAAAATGGTTTTGGAAGTTTAACTTTTAGCAATTATTTTTTATTTATTGTAAATAAAAAAAAACCTTTTTTTTTGGTTGATTTATTACTTGAAATTGAGATGCGTGACCAATATGATTTTATTATTACAAATTTCCGAAAGTAAAAAATAAAATGATTGTTTTCAAATGCTAATAGATTGTTGCATCCACAAATTTACCAACACCAATTGGATATATATTTTATAGAATGAGATTTTGCTCCTCGTACAACGTATTACATAAACGAACAATTATTGGGGTTAGGGTCATGTAACTAAAAACTTTGAGGGCAGTGGTGGACTTACATGAATGGGGTGGAATCACATGTCCGTAAAAAAAATATCGAATTTTTATATAAATTTGATAAAATTACAACTAAAATCATCAGATGCCCCCATAAAATTAAATTTTCACTCTATAAAATTATACGTGTAAATTTATTGGCCCTTTTTTTTATCATTTTTTGTCCCGCATTTTAAAACCGTTGTATATGTTATATAAATTCGTAGATACTCGACCATCCATCAATCTCTCTCCGTATATATATATATATATGTGTGTGTATTCTCGTTGTATTTGTGAATAGAGAGAGCTCGGCTAACTATTGAGCATTGACCCCTTATATATATGTGTATATATATAATAGAATTACATACGCAAAGAAATGAAACGGGCCGACACAGTATTATTATTTTAGGGCTATGTTACTTTAGTGGAGAATTGTCAAATACCCAATCCCACCCAATAATAAAATGGTTTTGGAATTAATATTTGGTTTTCTATTAAATGGGTTTCACGAACCCAATAAATCCTTGCGTTTATGGGTGTACGTTAGGGGTGGTCAATTCGGATTTCGATTTGGGTTCGGATCGGATATATTTGGGTTTGGTTATTTCGGTTATAGAAAAACTATAACCATGCGGTTTTTATATAAATTTCGGTTCGGTTCGGTTCTGTTATTTTCTGGTTCGGGTTCGGTTCAATTTTGATAAAAAGTTCAATTTTTCAAAGAAATTATCGGTTATTCTCTCGATTTTTTGATTATTTTTTATTCTGTTCGGTTCGGTTTCGGTTTCGGTTTTTCGAGTTTAAGAAAATCATAACCGTTCGGTTTTAATATCGGGTTCGGTTCGGGTACGGTTATGTCTTATTCGGTTCGGTTCGGTTCAGCTCGGTTATTCAGTTAATAACCGAAATGGCCACCCTTAGTTTACATCACAATGAGAAATTAGAAAAATGAAATTATTAGAGTCCTAATTATTACGATTGTATTTTGTTTAAGAAATTTAACGAGTAATTAGTAAAGGATTAGTGATTTAGTGAGGAATATGAAAGAATGGTTTCAAGGACATACGCATGTATTTTCTGTAGAGGGAAAGACGATAACAAGAGTCGCGAACCCAGCTGTTACTCCAACGATGATTAAATTTAGAACAAAATAAACGGAATTATAGGTTGATATTATTTCAATAATCATTTGATTAAATTTTCAGAATCGGTTGAATAAATCATTGTGATTAGTACTATAAATCTGATCATATCGTCCAACTACTTTTATATCAAAATAGTAGTTGTCTTTATATTAATTCAACACCACAAAAAATTATCCTTATGTGATAATATTAATTAATTTATAAAAAAAAATCCATTTCCCAACTTTCTCTTCCTACAAAAATATGAAATTCCATAAAAACTCAATTGGAGAAAAGGAATTAAAGCGAGGAATTTTCGTCGCGTCTTCTTCATCTTAATCTGCACGTCACAGCGGTAAATAAATAAAAAGGAGATGATTAGAGTCGTGCTTATTACAATTAAATAATGATTAGGAAATTTAATGAGCAATTAATGATACGGATTAGTGGGAGGAGGGGGTCCATACGCATGGATTTTCTGCAGAGGGAAAGGAGAATAACAAGAATCGCGAATCCAGCTATTACTCCGACGATGATTGCAATCGATTTCCCTGCGTGGTCGCCGTTCGTGGGATCTTACAAAAAAACGAATGGTAAAAATTATAAATTATAATAATTATTTTTAAAAAATCATTATAACATTAATATGTATATATTTAATTAACATAACGGGAATTACATTTCGTTAGTTTTTATTTTTAAAACAAACCAGATATAAACCAAATAATACGAAATCCACACTTGACCGGACCAAAATCGGGCGAATATTAATTTTTTATTTGAAGATAGATGATTCCATGTTTCAATGAACACGTGGCGGAGCAAATATAAGACCTCTCGTTAAGAAAAGAATTTTAGAATATAGTATTGAGAAAAACAATAGAGGGCTTATAAGGGACATTGGACGCATGGTACAACCGTGGAGAATAAATATGTACAGTCCAAAAAAAAAAAAGTTGGAACAAAAGAAACGGATGTCCACGAAGAAAAGAATATTATATATATGCATGCTACACATAATACATGCATGCCCGTTACTTTATATATTTGTCAATGCATTTTTTGCTCACCTTTACTTGTTATACATAATCATACATTACAAATAATTTAAAAACCTAGTGGCGTATACATACTTTATACTATATATGCCACTATCTGCTGAGCAATTAAAAATTGTTCTCAATAGTATGCGGCGGACAATAAGGCTCAACTTATAGGTGCAAGACTTAACGTTTGTCGTATATTGGTCTAGGTTTTTAAATTATATGGTTACAAGTTTAATTTTATTTCTTTTGCTTGACTGGAAACTTAAATAAAAATGGTTCAAAAAATAGAAACTCAAATAAAAACTCCGAAAACACCTCTGCCGCTTGACACTATACATTACTAAAGCATATGATGACATGATATATTAGTTAAAATTGTACTATTTTGGGGGAAAAACAAGATTTGAAGATGTTTCATAATCAATGCAATCAAGAATTTATATACCATATTTTCTTTGATTATATGGATGAAAATGTAGCTAATGATTGTCTGAATTCATCAAAACCAAACGATAATAAATCTAAACGTTAAATTTAGAAAAATTAAACAAACTTCGAAAGGAACTGACCTGAGGAGAAATCATAGTAACCAGAACCCCAGTAACGGGCATAGCACTGAGCCAAGAAAACCTCGGCCGCAGCGGCAGAGCCGCACAAGTTCTTCAATTTTCCGACAGCATCAGCCAAACAAGTCGTACAGTCGCTCTGCGTCAGGTCACCGACACACTGAGCGAAACCCTCCACCAATCCCGACATGCTCACCTTGAACCCTACGGCCGTCTCGAGATCGGCCAAGACATCGTCCCTCCGTTTGAAGAACTCGTAATCATTGTCCACGCTCTTCGAACTGCACTTCTTGTACCTAAGACTCGTGTCTTGTTTCCCGAGAAAGTCGACGTTTTCGTAGCGCAGGTAGCAGCCCGCGAGCTGTAGGGATGCGCCGTAGGAGTACGGACAGAGAAGGGTGATCTGGTCGACGCCGTTCTGGACGCATTTCGAGCAGTCGGCGGTTTTTAGATCGCCGCGGCATTGGTAGAGGCCGAATACGGCGGTGGGGTCACCGGAGGATGAGCCGTTTCCGACGGCGAAGCTGTTGAAAGAAGCCTCGGAGGAGGCGGTGACGACGGCGGAGAGGAGGGAGTCGCGATTGGATTCAAAGGGCGAGTTTGTAGTGTATTTCTCTTGTGAACAACCGCCGTATATGAAGCTGTGGGTATCTGACGAAGAAGAGGACGAAGAAGACGATGAATTGATGAAGAACAAGAGGAAGAAGAAGAAGATGGACAAGTGAAGGGTTTTGAATTTGACTCCGGTGGCTCTGTTTCTTTGTTGATTGTGGCTTCTCATTGTTTTGTTTTTTCTTTCTCGTGGGTTTTTTTGTTTGTGTTTTTTGGTTTTTGGGTTGAAATTTTTTTTTTTTGGCTATGATTAGATTACAAGTGTTAGGTTTCAAAATTCAAAGGCTGATGTAAAAGTGGAACACTATACAATACATATAACCTTATTCCACTGAGGACGAGATTACGATTATAGCATAAGATTCGACATCTAGAATTTGAAATTGGCTGGATGGGGATAAGACTGTGAAATTTATTATATGTATATATATATATATATATATGAAGATTTGGGTATTTTCTTGATTTTTTTTTAATTATTTTACGTGGGTCGCCGTGGAGGAAGTTGGTCCCATGGTGTTATGCTTTTGTGCTTAGTACATGTTCTCTAGAGATTCCACATTGTAGTGGAGAATTATGAGATGAGGATTGAGGACACTTTGCTTTAATTTATGTCCACCACCTTTTATTATTCCCCCCTCTTATCCCAAAAGCCAATAACTATGGCGATATATTGATTACAATATTGTTGCATTTAGGTTACTCAATTTACATAAATCTTCCGCTCCCTTACAAGTTGTTATAATACTATCAGAAATCTGATCATGTAAATATATAACCATGTGAAATCTTTTTTCATCCCTTAAAGTCGATTTCTTTTGAAAAAAGATCAACCAACACATCATTATGATTCAGATAAAGGTATTATGGGCTGATATTATTTTAAACAAATTATTTGATTAAATTCCCAAAACGGGTCAGCTAAATGATCGTGGCCCAATAACCCAAATCATGGCATCCATTTAATTTATAGCTTATTGGGCTTATTATGGGCCCATCGATAGCCCACATCCGATATCTTTGTCGTATTTATACGACACATTACTGTTGGAATTACATTTTAAATTAATGCTAATTTTAATTAATTTTTTGATAAATAATTTTAATTTTAATTAATTGTTATGCAAACTAATTTTAAATAGTTAGACATACGCTGCTTAACCATATATGCATATATATATCGTTTCTTGAGATTTGGTTACAAGAGGACTAAGCAAGTAATATATTTAATTTATTCAGTTTTAAAAAACGATAATTAATAATTTCAGAACCATAATTTATATGAATCAAATTTAATGGTTTTACTACAAATTTCATGGCTTAATTTGCAATTTTAATTTTTAGATACTCGGTTTTAAGTGTGATTTTGACAATCATAAACTTGTGATTGTACCACGTCGAGTTGTTATGTATTTGTATAAATCAAGCGACTTATTGCAACGTCCACATTAATCTCATTCCAACGGAGAGATGCGTATCGAAATTGGACCAACCTAATTCCCTGTATTATTTCAAAGCCTACTTATCAACTTGGCTTTTATGAATATTCAAACATTTCATTACTTGAAATTGAGATGCATGACCAATATATGATTTTATTATTACAAACTTCCGAAAGTAAAAAAATAAAAATGATTGTTTCCAAAAGCTTGTTGCATCCCACAAATTTACCAATGCCAAATGGATATATGATTAATAAAATATGATTTTGCTTATCGTATTACATAAATGAACAATTGGGGTCATGTAACCAAAATCCTTGAGGGTATCATTTTCTGTCCCACCTTTTAAAATTGTAGTATAGGTTATACGATGCGTAGATTCTCCACCATCCATCAATCTCTCTCTCTCTCCCCATATATATGTATGTATGTATGTACGTACGTACGTATGTATGTATGTATGTATGTATGTATTCATTAGACTCGTTGAATTTGTGAATAGAGAACATGCTAAAACGAGATAATCTGAGATTGAAGCGTTCGTCGCCATTAATGTCCCTTTCCTTTCCCTTCCGTCTCTATCTCTCTGTATATATATATATATATATGTATATACTGCGTGGGGTTTAACTTTTTACTTGGATTTATCATTCCTTTCAAAATTACGAGAGACCATGTCGTCCCCATGCAAAATCACAATCATCATCACCATCACCATCACCACCACTACAAACGTCGAAACCATGTATCAATGGGAGAAAATCATCTCTACACTATTTATTTACATTACCGTCTTAATCGCTGCAACATTCACAATCACGTTTTATACCTAACCGAAGGATTAAAAAAAAAAAACCAAAGTAACGACCAAAAAACAAAAAGAAAAAAAGGGATCGTAGAAAATATTCTACGCATACTCTAATCGCATTTTCATCATCATCATCATCATCATCAATGGTGGATGTTGCGGCGGCTCCAGGACAGCATCCGAGAACCCGACCCGGATGCGATCCGGGTCTTGACCCGCTCGAAGTCCGAATACGGACAAGGGATCGTGATTCCGCCTTGGTGGCAGAATCCGTACTCTGCCTCCGCCTCTCTAAGAAGCTCACCGAACAGAGGATGGTTGAAGTAAACGACGGGCACCAAAACTCTGTGAAAGTCGCCGTCTTTTTGACCGACGTAGACCGCCATGTGACCCTTGGGAACCGGGTCGGGGTTTGTCCTAATCGGATCCTGACCCATGGGTATGTATCCGGATCCTATCCTCCTTGACCCGATCAATCTGGCTATGTCCCTGAGACGGCGTCCCCAGCTTATGAGCTTGGCGATGGGCCTCGGCTTAGAATGGGGTCGGGTCGGACATAACCGGTTGTACCCGGATAGGCGGATCCGGGTCTTTCGGAGTATCGATCTGGAGATCCGGAGAAACCGTCTTCTGATTCTGAAGCCTCTGAACTTCCTCATAGTTGCTGGGTTATTTCCGCACTACAGGGAACAAAATCTGATGAACATGCTGGTTTGGGGAATCTTGTCACAGGACAGAGACAGAGATGAGTAACCCTCGAACATGTTCAGCGTTTGTCAATGAAAGGGGAAATTCATTTCAGACAAGAAGCGAAACACACGAGAGCTTCTTCGCTGTATTTCCCCCTTATGTTCAGAGGTCAGAAAGACGATAAACTTTCAGAAGATCAACGGTGGAGATTTCCCGGGAAATCAGCGAGAGAAATCAACGGTGAAGATTTGAAAAATAAAATAAAAGAGAGATGCTTTGAGAAGCGTTTTGAAGGGAGAGAGAAGGGGGAGAGGAAGATGACTTATATAAGGGGGGGGAGGAGATGGTCAGCGATGCGAGTTAGACAAAATGAACGGTCGGATGAGGAGGAAGACTTTCAACCGTTGGATTAAAGAAACTGCCGCTTTTGATAATTATAATCACCTGAAGAATCACTCATTTAATCATTCCCCCTTCTTACCCACCAGCACTTTAATAATGTACTTTGCGACAAAATCTGCACAAACAGAGTCATTTTGCATATATTACACAACGGACCAAATACGTTAAATTTTGTCTAATTGCATTTTACACGTAACCATCAATTTGATTTAATTTCAATTTTGTTTTTACAGTTGACGGGTTAAAGATGCCGTTCGACAAAAAGAGATGAGAATCATACAGAATTAACATTACTAACGAAAGGTTCCAACATAATTTATGAACCATCATTGTGGACGTGCCATCCACGAGAGACACGTAGGGCATGCATGCCGTCACAAAGGAAAAAGAATAGTGTCGACACACAGAGGACGATGACTCACCGGAGCGTTAGGCTCCGCAGGTGTGTATGTGTGTATATATATATATGTATGTATTTATTTATCAAATGAATACATTATAACTTCAAGATTTTTTTTAGAAAAAAAAAGGACAATTATTCCGCCACCACACATGTTCTGTCCACGTGTCCAACATTTTTAGTGTCCCGAGATCCTGGTCCGACCAATCCATATGTATATATTGTACGGTGTGTCCTTTAGTTGCAAAGCCTACACACATGCACATATGTAGGCGGATGGCAGTTAGATCTGATTTGGGCTCAGAACAAAATTGTGTTTTAAGCTTTAATTCTATCATTTTATCATATTTAATAGTGGTTGATTACTGATTGATGAGCTGGAGAATATTTTTTATTTTATTTTTGTGATTAAATATAATAACATGTATACGACTGTTTCTAATACATTTAATATACCAAATAGCAGACATTTAATTGTTGACCGTTGCGTTTTTTTATTAAGATTATTATTATGACGAAACAAAATAAATGAAACACTGGAAAATTTTGTTCGTAATTGCTTTGCTGACGTGTAAATTTCTTCGACGAGATTTCGAAAAATCAATGTGTAAGTGGGAGAGTTATTCAAAGGAATACGAAAAGTTGTACGTATAAATGGTTAATACAATGGATTTTTTTTCTCTCTCACTAACGCATCGATCCTTGTTCCGTACAGGTACGTAACGTACACGAACGTGTAAGGCCAGCATTCACTGGTGGGGCCTACCTGACGTTATAGTGATGAATATTTGGAAAATTATTATTTAATGAAAATAATTAATCGGACAGGCTCTGACTTTCAGACCGGACACCGGTGGGCCCATTGATTGCAATCAACGCTCGTGTAGTGTTAGCCACGTCATCGTATCGCGGATTTCGTGGGCCGAAAATATTTAAGCCCAATAACTTTTCTCTTCAACAATTTGCTGTTTTTTTTTTCTTTCCGTAAACGAATTTCTTTGGAGGTTTCAAATGATTTAAATAATTTTTATAACACAAGGAAGTATTTAGTTTTGAATTAAGTATAAGAGATTTCCATGGATTTTTAAAATAATTCAAAAATTTATTATAATTATCTTTGCTTTGAAAAAAATAATAAAGAGCTTTTGTCCGTTCTATAACATATATTGAAAAGTTTATATGTGACAGATTGTTCGATAGATTTTTCAGTTGGGTATTCCTCGTCTGAAAATGATACAATACCAAACCTAAACCATACATCAAACACGACAGCGTTTCACCCCACAGCCTCATTTTCATTAGGCTTAAAAGTTTTAAAAGGTAATTAATTTATATAAATCATATCTTTTAAAAAGAAAGTCTGATTAAACTAATGACTAAACCGATAGTGGGTCATCCATTTAAATCCCTGATTAGTCGCTCTATATGGTATTTTGTATTTATGGTAATATGTAAGTTTTGCTTTTGAATATAAATATTATATATATTAACATATTATTTTCTAGTATATGGTCTCATCATGCATCAATATTAATTGGTTATAAAAGAAATATAATTTATGATATCCACTTAGAATCACTAAGTAAAAAGGTGGATTTGAAAGATCTATGCACAAAGAAGGTTGGTGATTTTAGATTAGTGTTTTTAATTAATACATGTTTACAGCCGGCAAAATTTGTCTTTATTTGTACGGATAATCGTACATGTCTCAGAAGACAAGCCCTTCGATCTCTCGACGGGCCATTAAGCTCATAGTTAAATGCCTAAATATCGGCCAAATATTGATTAAGAAATTCAACTAGTTTTATAATAATTAACCGGTTTCTTAAACTAATAATTTTTTGCTCGGAGGTGGGTGATGTCATTGGGTGTATATATATATATATATATAGTACAATATTTTTTATTAATATTATATATATATATATATATATATGTATATAGGATTTAATTATAATGATGGACTTGTCAAACAAAGGAAGACTTTGTACAATTCAACAGTCCATCCGAAAAATAAAACTATTCAACTGTTGAATTACAAAAACCAAATATGAATTTCTTCGTCCGTCGGTACTTACAAGGACGGAAAACGAAGTCGTGCGGAAATGGCATTTGTTTGGTCAATGAACCAAACACCAAGAGTTTCAACTTTCAACCCATCAACACCACCTTGCGGCATCAAAATTCTAGATTCACTTGAAAGAATTTTCGAGGCAATTGATTAAACATATCATCATCGTCATTGCTCCATAAGTATAGCTCTCTCTTATGACTAGAAAAATATAGTAACATGTATTTAATGAACACATAATTTTTTTTTAAAATTTACAGGGTCTTCGGTCGATTTAATCCATTGAATTCAGAGTCCGTCTTTAGTCACGTAATTAATCGCGCTTTCTCTTTTCCACTAATGGAATCGAACCCATAATCTTGAAAATGAACTTTTTCATCTCTCGTCTTGAACAATTAACTATTGGGTAACACAGAAATATTTAAATTACAGTTATTTCGAAGAATTAAAATTATAGGGAAATGAGGTAATAAAATCAAAAGACGAGAAAAAAATAATAAAATTGGAAGGCATCCTCTCCCTTCCTCTCTTCCCCGCTTTTCCTGTCTCTAATAGAATAGTCGATTAGTTAAGGATCTGAATAGATTTGGATTTTTCATTGACTTTTTCCATGGAAAATCAGAATAGTCGATTAATTAAGGATCTGAAAATCTGGACATTTTTTTTTTGTATGAAATTATTGAGCCCACGAAAGACAGGAGCTCAGTGCAAGCCCACTGTAATAATACCCAACTAAGCCCGAGTAGATCACTTCTATTTCCTGGGATTTTTGAAGGATAAAATAAACATTAAACAGGGGAGGAGATGGGAGGAATCGTACGGTCGGATGAGGGAAAGA